TCGTCGCAGGGATGCAGGATGGAGAGAGAATGAGGACGGAGGTCGGATGGGCCCTGAGGTGAGTCAGCTGGTGTCATGTCGGGGTCGGAGACGGGTGCCGGTAGCGCCGAGGTGACTCAGGGGCGCCAGTGGGGACCCGGCGGGCCAGCCGGAGCGGCGGCCGCCAACACATGCAGCCATCTGGCACTGGCCACAACCAAAACACGAACTGAGGTAAAAATAAATATACCGGCGGCGAAAGAATGCACCGCATCAGACACGTTTCTCGTCACAGACCCTAGCGACTCCCCTCGGAACAATACAGAACTATTAGTGCCAAAGTGTATGCGGGAACGGTTTGGTGGCAAAAACATCATTTATTACGAAATACTAATTAAGTTTGGAAATTTCAACTGCGAAACGAACTAGGTAATTAAAAGAGCATCCTGGTGGAGATCACGTGCATGGAGATTTAAATGCATTCGATATTATCCAGCTCTGACACACGACATATTGCAGGTTTACAGCACAAAGACCCGAGTCCAAACACATGACCGCGTGCAAATGCGTGCGGCTGTGCCTAAATCACGGCACACCTAGCCGGACACGAGAACAAATGTACCATGACGTGATACACGTGAAGGGAACCACATCTGTGCTCTATAGGGCCACACGACTTTTCTTTTCTTTTCTGCTGCTTGAAACAGTGAAAATGTGAGATTAACGTGACTTAACACAGGATACATGGGACATCGGTAGGTAGAGGAGAGGAGTCGTACGTAGAGGGGAAGAATCTGCCTGCCTAATCGGTAGGTAGAAGACAGTAGTCGTATCGCGCCCATCTGTCATCAGAAGCCATTTCACCCATTTGTCTAAAAATCGTTTGGTGGCAAATCATTCTCATTGAATGAGTTAATGGCAGTGATTCTAATGAGGATACGCGATTCCGAAGGGTGTTTGTCCATGACCGTACGAAGAAAGCAGAAGCCTTTGGTGCAGATCATTCACTTAACACCGACTAGATGCATGTCTAACGTTGTCTATCGTCAACATCGTACCATGCTGGTTTTCCCAGGCTCTGACAGCGAGCACATTATGAACGAGGCAACAAAGCGCGACATGGAACAGGGCATATGCACGTTGACAGATTTGTTATGCGCATTTTTATGGGCTCAAGCCCGACTCTGGATGCCATTGAATCACATTGTGCCATTGTCAAGCCAAACTTTTTAAGCTTTTAAGACATGCGCAAAAATATGCGGCCTCAGAAATGTATGTATACTGACAAGCCCTGTGACATTGAAAGGCCCTTTACATGGACGAGCCCTTTTGCTACAGCATTTCGTGTCATTCAGTTCCCTCCTTGAAGTGTGTTCGCTACGAAAAGTGTTCTCTTGAGTCTTTATGATGCTCTCAGGATACTTACTGGAAAGGGTGAAGATGAGTGTCCGCTCTCAAGGATGCTTGTCAAGCTGTTGAAAATCCGTGCGTTTTAGCTTTGAGAAATTCATATATTACGCGATAGGCGAATGGCAGGTCGTGACTGACATCTGACATGACATCTGACATGACATCTGACATAACAAGCGCCTCGAGACATGTGTTGCCAACCTCAGTGGTCGCTTTGAACATGCATGGCCTCACGAACGTACTTTTCGGTAATTATTTTTAAGCCTATCACGTAATATATGAATTTCTCAAAGCTAAAAGGAGTACGTTTTGCGTGTCAAAATGAAGAATTACCAAACATCGCCATTTTTAAGCAGTAATTGAGATATAAGTGAAATCTCATTAAACACTGCTTCAAAAGCTAGGACAACCACATTTCGCGCGAAAACTGAGTGTAGCTATATGCATTTTAAAGACAAAGTTTCGCATTATGAAATGATGCGTATTTTGCTGCCTCACATCTTCCCGGTCGTGAGATATGCTGCCTAAACTTAATTGCTAGTTATTTTTTAATCACCATTTAGGCATAGACCATATGCCTACGATAATGAATTTGATTTTTGATCCCTATTTGGTTGATGCTGAGTTTGAACAACAGGAGGTTTGCCTGTATTAATGGTACAGTGCACTTTCGAACAAGGCACAACATGATTTCTATTTCATAGGAGTAGTTCCAGGCTGTTCCGATCGAAACTGCTTGTACTGGCCGGAAAACTGCACGCTCACCGCAATATGCTCATGCACTTCTCGGAAATGTTCTTATGTATATGTCATGTATCTCGCAGCTGCCCTGATGGCAGCAATTTACATGACCTCCCTCACTCTCTCGTCTACCAATTACCCTACCATTTGTCTGTAACGCAAGCTATATGAGTGAATGGTGATCAACATGTATTTCCCTGACCCGATATTCATTCGAGATGGGATGTCAATTTCCACGAAAGCCAAATGCCTCCAGTATTCTAGCCTTTGTCATATTTTCGGAAATCCCAATAGGACATGATTTAATTAATTAGTGTCTATTCGTTTTCCATAAAAAAGTAGTGAATGACACCAAGCTCATTGTTCGAAACCTACTTCAATTACGATCAGCTTATAGCTATTATATAGCTATAAGCTATTAAGAATGGCTTAGGACTTTTGCGGGGGTAGCGAATGCTCAGCACATCCGAGGGCCAATAATATGAAAAATTAGTACAACGTTGCCCCGGATTATCCGTCACTTCGGTTATCTGCGCATTAGGACCAGTTGTGGCACTAGTGGCACTATCAGTTGTGTCACTCTAAGGGCTCCTGGGTAGTCAGCTATTGTTCGCCCTCCGTCTCTAGTACAGCCTCTCTATTCCCCGCTGCTGCGCTACAGCTACCCACGATAGCTCCGCCTGGCTGGTGGGCCGACCCGTAAAGCGCAATTTGGCTGGTAGGCTCGCCCGCACTGCGCTGCCTGGCTGGTAGGCTCGCTCGCATAGCGCTGCCTGGTCGGTAAGCTCGCCCGTATAGCGCTGCCTGGTCGGTAGGCTCGCCCGTATAGCGCTGCCTGGTCGGTAGGCTCGCCCGTATAGCGCTGCCTGGTCGGTAGGCTCGCCCGTATAGCGCTGCCTGGTCGGTAGGCTCGCCCGTATAGCGCTGCCTGGTCGGTAGGCTCGCCCGTATAGCGCCGCCTGGTCGGTAAGCTCGCCCGTATAGCGCCGCCTGGCTGGTAGGCTTGTCCGTATGGCGCTGCCTGGCTGGTAGGATCGCCGCTATAGCGCTGCCTGGCTGGTAGGATCGCCCGTATAGCGCTGCCTGGCTGGTAGACTGACCCACACAGCGCGCACCTGGGTGTTAGGCTATCCCGCACGTCAGAGGCATGGCTGGTATGCCGACGCGTTTGGTTATCAAGGGCGCATCCAAGGAAGGGCTCCGAGGTACTCGGGTACCTTCCACACGCCCGGATTTTTAGTTTTTTTTTAACATCGATGGACCCAGGCAGCGCTTGAGCCTACGTTGTGTCGTTTATTATCATCTCGGTGTGATGCATACTCGCCGGGCTCGGGGTTCATCCTTTAGGAATACGCTGGCTGCGCCCCTGTTGAAAACCCCTTTGTAGCGTGAATTAGACGCACAGATGAGGGAGCTACGGCGTTATGGGGAGCCAGTTTATTTCAGCGCCGTGGCGCCAAAATAAACCTTCCACGTCGGACCATTATGTAAGCCAACATCGATAGACTTGTTCATTGGTTTAGGGTTTCAATATTATCTCCATCATTTCGGGGGCGCATGACAAAATAATTACCGCTGAGCATCCGCGTAGTAAATCCAAATGATGCTCTGAGATTTGCGATCAAAACGTGAGAACCTGAGAACGCTCAACCGTTCTTGCATCGACTCGAGCGGGCAAACCACTGGTGTCCAACATCGACGACCACTTGTCATCTACCCAGACATCACCATCAGCAGAAGCGGAAGGAGTCGTAGCTCACGACTCAAACAGCGTGCCGACCAACGACTCTCCTTCAGCTGTCATCAACGTGACAAAGAACGCCAGTCGTCTCGCTTTCATTTGATTGTTACCCTCCTTCGTTTAGAAGCGCACAGCAGTTTACTTATGACGCCGGTCGTTGATTTCCGCATTCCACTCCGAACGTGGCTTGGATGATGGAACACAAAGTGCACCAAAGCCACACGCAAGCTGCCCGCACACCATGCTGTTCACGCCGTCAGGTGCTGATGACGGACGAGGTAGAATGGCTCGGAGCCCACCGATCCATGCATTTCACCCGGTGGGCAGGCAATCCCTTGAACCCCTTAACTACCCACCTGTAGACAAAACACGATCTCTCTGGACCAGCATGCCATCCAACATTGTCGAGGGCTCGAGACTCTGTTCATTGAAAGAGGTTGAGGTAGGAAGGAGGCAGAGGCGTCGTCAGGATCTGAAGCGAGACGGGGTAAGCGGATGAAGGAGGAATCGAACCGAGACAGGAGAACCGGTCCCGTTGATTTGGAAGGCCAAGTCGCCAACCCACAGGATCCTCGCTGGCGCCAGCGCGTAGGGCATATCAAAAAGCTCCGCGGGTCAGATCCTCTCCTTCCCCATCAGCGACACCAGGGCCAAGGTACCGTGTACAAACATGGAAAGCTAGCAAGTTTTGCAAACAACGGTCACTTACCTGTGCAGTCGGTCGAAGTTCATCAATGCATAACATACAACGTTGTTCATGCAAAACGAGATATGACTTCACTTGGTATTAGGAGTGCAAACAAAGCATGCAAAACCAGGAGTAGATGTATGATGTAAGCGGCAATCTTTCAAATATTTTCCTTGGGTACCCACACTGTTGGTTATGACTAAATAGCTTAAAAATGAACGATGCATTCATCCATCAAACACTACCATATTACCGCGTATAATCTATGCCATGCATGTTAAGCCAACCATAAATAAAACAAAAGCACAAGGTCCTTGCAAGATAGCTTTAAATTCTGAAAAAAACGTCAAATATTTAACCACCGCAGACGAGCTCGGTGTAGTTCTAACAAGTATGTTGCACCGGTAGAGTGACGAACTGAAGATTTCAGCATACGCCGCGTCCATTTTATCATGTATTGCTAACAACACGACCACAACATCAGTAGCATCATTGCTTCCGGGAGTTGCTGATTGCATTAGTAAGGACAGACACGCTGCCCAAACGCTGATTCGAGTAAGACGCAGACTGAAGCCGATCGCCAGGGAGAAAAAGTGCGGCGAGACGATGCCAGTGCAGATACTGGGTCCAGCCGATGCCACGTGGGCTACAGATCTTGCAGACCGACACAAACGTCACAGGTGCAGAGTGACACAGAGGCACAGAGTCGCTGTGCGTATCGTGAACACACAACATTCCACATGTATGTACAACGTAAACTAGCTGCCCGCAGGCTGAAGCCAAGTCGACAACAGAGCAAACTCGTCGGTATCGCACACGCGTCTGGCAACGATGGCACCTCACATCAACCGCGCTACTCAGAGTGCACCCCCATCCGCGCCTCGTATGGAAATCTGACTAGCAGTCGTCTACAGAGCTTAAGCAGCAAGCGGTACTTGACGGTCACGCATGCGCACTGGCTCCCTCTGTCCGCGCCCGCACACGGAGACCACCGGCGGGACTCGCAGGGACCAGCCGGCCGGAGGTCCGACAGGACTCATACACCGGTCCACCGCGGCTTGCCCGCCCCGTCCCATCCTGACCCGGCACGGTGGCGAACGGGACAACACCCGCCGGCGGGGCGCGCTCACTTCTCACCTGCCACGCACACCAGGGCTTCCGTCGACACCGAACCCAAAGCGTTGGCCGCCACACAGCGGAAGAGGCCAGCGTCCTCTGCGGGCATAACGTACCCGTGGGCACGGTCAGACGACGGACTAACAACACGCATGCGCAAATGGTCCGTCAACGAAAGGCAGGCCGGGTTCTCTCACTGATAGCAGCTCGCAAATCTGTACAGATGTTGACATATTCTCGAAGTTAGATGATCTATCGACAAAATTACGATAGAGATGCGACGTGCAATGCTGCGCCGTTAAGACGTGACCAAAGGTACAAACTAAACGAGCCGGACACCACAGATCCTCAGGCACACGTTTTATCAATAAATTCTCTCTAAAGCATACAATTGATTTGATGTGTCACGGTGCGGTCCCCAAGACCACATCCTGGAGCGGGTTAGGAAACGAGGGAGGATAACTGAGTCCAGAGAATCTCTGAGGGGAGCAGGCGGCCTAGTCATCGCGAGCCCAGTGGGCGCGGTGGGCCAGTCAGGCGGCTACCAGCTGGGCCAGCTCACCTGCGTACGCCTCTCGCACACTGAGCCGACAGATGCCGCTCTCGACGGAGGTGCGGTACGGCGGCCCGGCGCCGACGCCCACCACGCGGCTGTCCTTGTACCAGGTGACGCGCGGCTCCGGCAGCGCGTCCACCATGCACTTGAGCTCGATGCTGTCGCCGCGGTGCACGTACACGTCGGAGAGCGGGCGCAGCAGCACGGGCGCGCGCGGCGACGGCTGGTCGGCTGTCGGCGGAGCGCGCTCTCGTCAGTCCGCCGACAGACGGTAGGCGGGGAAGGTGGGAGGGGAGTGGGGGGGGGGGGGAGGGGTAGTGTCGCCGTGGTAACGGTGGGTTACCACCGGGTTTGACACGCTTGGGTCAGCCGGGCGCCACGCAGGCGCAGGGGGAACGGTCAGGGCCAGCAGCGTCACCACAGCCGCGACGGCAGGCTTCGGCGGCCGCAGCCTCGGACGCGTGTGAACAAACGAAGGATAAACAGCCGCCCGATCATCACAGCAAGGTCGGCGTACATCAAAGGGAGAGATATGTTGCACGAGATACCGGAGACGTGAAGCCACACGCGTGCCCCTCACCGCTTCCACCTGGGTTCTAAAGGCCACTGGTCTTAGTAAGGACAACACATTTGACGTCTATACAATATGTGAAAACCGCAACTTAAAGGACTCCTTATTATGTCAAAGACGCATCGATGCAGAAACAAACATATACGTAATATGGCCATAATCGGTCATCGGTATCGGTCGAAATCAATATCACCTAAAAAAGCGCAATACGTAGCGCGGCGTTTCTAAAAGCGCAACCCGGAAAAAATCACCGACACGCATACACTTCGTTAGTTCATGCAAAAACACAGCAATGTGAGCAAAACTGCGTTGCATAAGCTCACAAACTAAATTTCAGACGCTTGTCTATCTACCCACGCAACCGCAATTAAAAGCCAACGCGAAAACCTGCGCGTACCAATCAACAGGGAACATGCGTCTTCTTGAAAGGCATCACTTCTTATCAGCGCACTACAAATGAATATCAAAGTGTCAGACATCGTACGATCTCACCAATAATGCACATCAAGGGCGTAAGCATGTTACGCAGCATGGACATCAGTTACCGGCGACCAACTCTGCGCGCAGCCACCGTCGCCATGTTAGTGATGGGCAAAACTTCACCACACAAGCATGCAGAGCGGACGGGACGCCGTCTCTTCTCCATCCCGCCGTCTCCAAGCCCGTGGCGCAGGGCGGCAGGGAAGCAGGTGAGTGCAGCGGCGACCTCAGCGCTCCACCTCCGTCCGCTGTCCGCACTCACTGTCGCCGGCGGCGGCCGGACTGCGCAGGCGCTGTCGCCGCCGGCCGGCCGACCCTGCCACCTCCTCGCCGTCCGAACGCTCGCCGTCCGTGGCCGGGTAGCTGACCAGCACGTTGGGCGGCGTGCGCGTGCCGAAGGCGCTCTCGGGCCGCAGCCGGCCGGCCGTCACCAGGTCGTCCAACTGCGCGCCGTCGAGCTCCTGAGCCGGCGGCACGGGCGTGGTGGCGCCGCGCGTCCGCTCCACGGTCACCTCGAGGCCAGGCGCCTCGCGCGCGGGAGCGGCCGCCGCCGCTGGCCGCGCCGCCCCCGGCTGCAGCACGCCAAACTCGTAGCCGAAGTCGTACTTGAAGTAGATGAGACCTGAGCCTTCGTCGACGTGCTTCGTACCTAAAATGGCGCGGCGCGCTCACTCGGCTGTTGATTCGGTCGATGACTCAGTGTGGACTGTTGACAGTGGCCGTGGCCCGACCCCTGCCCCGCTCCCTCTCCTGATAAATAGAAAGTGGCGTGTGGTGGATGTAGGGCACCTACCTTGGATATTTGCGATAGAAAATGCCGTATTGAGCCATTGTTGCGCGGGGGTTATCATGTCTGCGCTCTAATTTATCACTGCCGCAGTCACGGCACGCGGACTGACGAACGAACAGCTCGAACGAACGAACGAACGAACGAACAGACGAACATCTCCGCGCGCTTGCACGATGATGCACCTGGCCCTGCGCCTCTCGTGCGAAGCAGCCGGCAGTTGGGCACGACCTACGGATGTCTGACGCCCGGGATTTTAACGGCAGAATGAGCTTGTCATCGCCAACCACAACGCAGCAAGCCATCCTGGGCCCAACGTAGAATTCAGTCCGTTCAGGATTAACCTGCTCCTATGTTACCTCCGATTACAAACAACCCACTTTTATCGTTGCATTAGAAAATAACGTCGCGGCCGTCATGCGGCCCTGACGTCCCGGAGACGGATATCAGATGTCCATCGGCTCGCGGCGAAGCCAGCACAGCCTGGTCGGCCCGACAACATTCGAGGCCCGGTGTGGGGCCGGGCCTCTCATCTGGCACCAGAGAAAACAGGGCGAAATTCGCTTACGTTGAGCCGATGCCAGCAATACCGGCCGCGATCCGGTCCCGGTGCGGAAGGCTGCTGCACTTCGTCATCGCCCGGCGAACCTCGAGAATTGCAGACACCTCGCTCGGCCCATGTCAGTGGTAATTTGGCTTCAAGAACACTGTTGTTGCGTATAAAACGCAAACCGAAGCAAGCTTCAGAACATACGTCCTTAAGTTTGGTGTCATTCGACATCGCAAACTACACCCATGCCGAATGAGCTTCTTGGCAACAATGAAGACCGCATTGTGTCCTATTCCTCCAACACAATGTCCCAGTGATGTACATCATCACCCAGACGTTTACACGCCTTCGACTACTTACTGCAGTCTCGGACACGGTCCTCGTTGCGGTAGACCATTGTCTGTCCGTTGGTGGCGGGCGCCGGGCCGTCTACTGCCGTTCGGGTATCATCCGCAGCCGTTCGGGTACCACCCGCAGTCGTTCGGGTACCATCCGCTGCCGTTCGGCTGGCTTCTGTAGCTGCTGGCTGCCGTCCACCCATCTCGGAGCGCACCTCCTCCGACAGTCGCTGCACTTTAGAGTTGAACGTCCGCTTCATGTCGCTGAGCTCCTGAGACAACGCCTCTGCGAAGCACAGCGCGACTGATGAGACACACCTTCATCAGGCGCAGGCGCGCTGCTGGAGTTCTTAACATGGGTAATGAAGACTGGCTTAGACGACTGCGACACTTAAAGATAGGCACACTTCACGGGAAATGAGTGCACGTAGCAAGATGACGCCGTTTTGGGATACAAATGCCAAAGTAAGATCCCGGGCGACAAAATAAACAGTGACGAAAGAGTAAAAATGACGAGACATCTGCCCACCATGGGTGCAACATTATCTTTTTCGAGATAATATATATATATATATATATATATATATATATATATATATATATGGGTCTGTCTATTGATCGTAACATATCAACCAGAGCAACAAACACTCGTGCTAAGCCACGCACGAAGCCGGAGAACTCCGGCCTCCAGTCTGTCAGGTCAGCGCGGGAAGTCACCTGTACGGTTTGTCTGCGAGGCCGAATGGTCTTCTGACAGCTTGGGAGGGTGCGATTCAGTGACCGCCAGTCTCTCATCGCGTGCCGTCTGCAGACGCGTCTCCTCCTTCCGCTGCTGCTGACGACAGAGGCTCTGAGGCTGCGTCTGCGTTTGCTGCTGCTCCTGCTGAAGCTGCGGTTGTTGGCTTTGTAGCCACGCCTCCTGTTGCTGTTGCTGATACGGACGCTCGATCTGTGTGCGCTGCTGCTGCTCCTGAAGCTGCCGGCTGCTCTCGATGCGAGTGAAGTGTGTTTGCTGAAGGTGATGACTTTCCTGTTGGATTCGCGCTGGCTGCTGTTCGCTCTGCTCCTGCTGCACATGGTGGTGTATTGTCTGAGGCTGAGTCTGCTGTTGCTGTTGCTGTTGCTGTTGCTGTTGCTGCTGCTGCTGCTGAACAAGCTGACGCGTGCGAGATGTCGGTGGAGGAGAAGGCGAAGGAATCTGGAAAGGAAAATAACACTTTTAATACTGCAGTGAACATGATATATATATATATATATATATATATATATATATATATATATATCCACGTCGCTTGCAGCATGTACCGATGGCGTGTAAACAAAAGCAAGACAGTTTTTTAACTAAGACAAAGCATGGGCCAAACTTTGACTCGAGCACATCGCTGGTATGAGTCTTAGATGACCACAATCCCGTGATACAATGAAGCGCACGTACTTCACCTCACAGACGGCTCCCGGTGCTTAGGCCGGCGCACCTCGCCGCCTTAAGCACCCCACCTGTACCCCAGCTGCACCCGTACCTTAGTGGCGCGGGTGGTCTCCCTCCTCTCGGTGGTGGTGCGCCGGCTGAGGTGGCTACTCGTGCGCGTCGTCTCGCGGCACGCCCCCGGCTCCGGCGCCGCGGCCAGGCCGGCGCGCGCCGGCGGCTCCTCAACGGACTTCCCGGGAAGCCCCTTGCGAGCCGCCTGTGGCGAGAAGCGCGGGATGCGAGACGGCGAGGCCTCCTGCGGCCGGCGCGCCGCCGCTGCCGCCGGCTGCTCGAAGCGCGAGGGAGGCGTGGGCGAGCGCGAGCGGTGCCGGCCGGGCGAGGCGGGCCCGGTGCGCGGCGACGGGCACGACACGCGCCGGTAGCCCGGCTGGCCGGCGCCGCGCTCCGGGCTCGGCTGCCACTTAGCCACGATGCGTGTCTCCAGGTCACTCTCGTAGTCGGACTCGCGCATTTCGCCGGGGATGAACTTGGTAGGCGCGCGCGGCGGCGAGGGCTGGACGGCGCGGGTGCGGGCGCGGCCGCGGCCGCGCGTCGGCTCCGGCTCGCTCGGCGCCGACTCGGCCGCCGGGCCGCCGCCCGCCGTCTGCGAGCTGAGGGTTGTGCGCTGCATGCTCAGCTGTGACGTCATCGTCGTGGTCACCGACCCTCTCTGCGTCGACGGCGCCGGCTCCGGGCCCGGCTCGGGCTGCTTGGCGGCTTCGGTGCGTGTCTGGATCTGGTTGAAGCCGTTGTGGGCACTTTCTCGCGTCGTTGTGCTTGTGGTGCCACCTGTTTGCTGTTGAGGGAGGATGGGAGCGTCGCCAATCTTCACGGCACGCTCAGTGGTGCTTTCAAACTTTTTGACCTGCCTGTGAATGCTTTCTGTGGAGGTGACACTTTTCTTCACGAGCTGCCGCGGCGGCGATGGTTGTCTCTGTGCTGACTGCTGCAGCTGCCGGCTCACTCTCTCAATCGTCTCACTGCTGTTAACCTGTTTATAGCTCGGCTGCGGCCGCCCACTGTCCACAGCCGTCTCAGCGCTGCCAGAGAACTCGCGCAGCGCGCTGCCTGCCGACTGCTGCACGTCACAGCCAGCTACGGCCGCCTGCGGCTGCGGCTGCAGCTGCGGCTCCGGCTTGACCGTCGTGTCCGGGCTGAGGACGTCGCCCAGGTTGACGACGCGCCGCGTGCGCTGCTCGGTGACCGAACGCAGACTTGTGGTGTGACTCGTCTCGGTGCGCCGGTGGCCGGTCAGCGGCGGCGGCGCGCCCGCCGGCGGGGCCCCGGTCAGGGCGGGCGCCGGCCGGCCCGCCGCCGCCGGCTCGCCCCACCCCGGCGTCGGCCCGACCAGCGACGACACAGCGCTGTCTAGAACCGCCTCATGAGCGCGGCTGCCTGGCTCCTCACCCGCCTGAAAGCGAGAGCGTCCGCTCACGGTCAGCGCATGCTGAACAACGCCGGACCGCCGGCCGCCTGAATCACCTTCAAGAAAGCATATGCCATTTCCAAACCCTGGTCACAAGAGAGGCGCTAAACAAAACACTGCTATTAGCGTACACCCAGCAATGGGTCACCCCTAACCTTTCAGCCTTGTGGCCTCCAGGAGGGCAATCAACACCAACGCCAACCCACCGCGCGATTCAAAATTATGTATCTGCTCCGTTACGGAAAATGCTAAAAATCTGCAAAGCGCCACCAACGTCATGAGTTTGTTAACGCACATGACTACATGTCAGTGAACACGAGCTACCCGTGCGTGTTGGTGAGACGCATGCTCGTGACACTAAGCCACTGTCAGTGTAACCCTGCCACAGACATCCTCGGCTAATGGCAGAGCGATCATTGTCAGACAACCGCAATAAAAGCTAGAACATCTCCGATGCTTATAAATATTTTGTTCGGCTGCTGGTTGTAACGACACTGGTAAGAGACTGAACTAATAAAATACAAAAAACAAACTGAAAAACACGGATAACATCTGTGTACGCTAAGGCGGTGTTCATGTCTTCAAAACCACCACGCGGGCTCAAGCAGCCGGCAGTTCGTTCCATGCAGTGTTCCCAAACATCGAAAACATGACCTAACAACACAAGACGACGAACATATCCTGTTGTTTGTTATGATGCGTTGGCGGAGTCACAAATACACACTCTGTAATGCAGCACATAAAGCTAGCTATATCCGCAGGGCGGGACCAGGCGAAAGCCATGCGAACGCAGCGTGAGGGCGACGCTCCTGGGACGTACAGCACCGGTCCTCCGGGGCCGGGAGCGTCGCGGCGGCGGCAGCAGCGGCCGCGGCCGGCCAAGCCGAGTGTAAGCCACCGGGTTAGTCGGCAAACGGAACAGATAGGACAGATAGCTACCTAGCGAGCAGAGAGAGAAGGCCAACCTGTCGACGAGCCGGCGCCGGCGCCACGTCCGCCGCCTGCTCGGGGACGCTGGACACGGACAGGGGGGACTCGGAGCGAGGCTCGTCGCCGTCCGCCAGAGGGCGCTGCGACTGGAAGGAGAGGTCGACCGTCTCCGAGTACTGCGACGCCCGCTGACGGCGGATCGTGTTCTCGGCGTCCGCCGTGTAGCCCGAGTCGGCGTACTCGGCGCGCGGCGGCGGGCTGCGGCGCGGCGGCGGGCTGCGACGCGGCGCGCGCGGCGGCGACTTCGGCGGCGGCGGCCGCGCCAGCGGGATGCCCATCACGTCCGAGTCGGCGGCGCCGGGCGCGGCCGGACTTGGCGAGGCCGACGGCAGCGGCGCACGCACGCCTCGGTACTGCGGCTCCTCGTCACCGCTGTCGGCCGGCCGCCAGCGCGCCGGGATGCGACCCTCGTAGTCGCTCTCGTAGTCAGACTCGCGCATCTCGCCCTTCTGGAACTTGGACGGCATGCGCGGCGGCGGGCCGCGCGGCGGCCGCGCCTGCGTCTCCTCCGGCCGGTACGGGAACGGCGCCAGCTCGGGGAACGGCTGGAACGGGACGCCGGCGTCCGGTGCCGGCGCCGGCCGCGCCGGCGGCGTCGCCTTGAGCACCAGCGGCGACTTGGGCCGGATGGGCCGGGCTGGGCGTGGCGACTGGTGCGGCATGACGCTGACGGCGCCGGGCAGCCGCGGTCCACCCGGCACCTGTCCGCGGCCCGGGCTAGGCATTCGCGGCCCGGCCGACTGCGTGGTCTGCTGCAGCGTCTGCCGGCTGTGGAACTCCTGCCGGCTGGTGGTCATCACGCTGGTGCGGGCGGCGCCGGCCGATGGGCCCGACGGATGACGCTGCGGAGACGACGACGGCCGCTGCACCGGTCGGAAGGTGGCGGCCGTGGCCGGGCCGGACGGCGTCCATGGCGCCGGCGCCGGCGGCTCGGCGCCCGCCGCGGCGGCCGGCGGCGGCTGCGCCTGCAGCGGCCGCGCCGCCGACGTCTGCTGCTGCGACACATGGCGCATGCTGCTCTGCTGCTGCCACACGGCTTTCTGCTGAGTCTGCGCCGGTTTCGGCTTCTGCTGGATGTAGGGCTCAGGCCGGCGGGCGGCCAGCGCCGCCAGCTCCGGCTCAGACGCGTAGCCAGCGAAGTCAGACGTGTAGCCGGCCTCGTAGGCGCGCTCCTCCATGTTGCTGCCGTAGCTCATGGCGGACATGGGGCGGTCCCGGTCAGCGTCCTGCTGACTCCACACGGGCGCCGACGGCCGGTCGCCGTCCGACGGCGGCGGCGGCCAGATCTTCGACAGCTTCTCCGACCTCTTGGTCGACCACATCTTCTGCATGCTGAGGCCCTCGGGGGTGGCGCGAGGCGAGAACGCGCGCGGCGTGTCGGACGCGCCGCTCGGTGTGCGCGTTCTGAGCTGCGGCTGTGGCTGACGGGGAGCCACGTCCGGCCGCGGCGAGGTCACCACGGGTCGTGGCGACGCGGCGAGCGGCGCTGCCGCCGTCTGCGTCTGCGCGCGCTCCAGCGACGTGGTCCGCTGCACTTGTGACGTACTCCGGGACGCCGGCGACGCGGCCGAGAGCGGCGACGTAAGCGCGGCAGGCCGGGCCGGCGACGCTGGCACGCCCGAAGGGCCCATCAGTTCCGTTTTCTGCACGCGCATATCGTACGACGAGCTCTCGTAGCGTGTCTCCACGCGCCTGTAGCCCGTGGTCGCCTGCGCAGGAGGGTGGGAGCTGGGCGGCGGCGCCGGACCATCAGCCGCGCCCGCCGGCCGCTGCACCTCGGTGCGCTCCGAGTGGAGGCTGGCCGAGCTGCTGGCGGTGTGCGAGCTCTGCTGCTGGCCGGACCGCACCGCCGTCGGCTGCGCCAGCGGCCGAGGCGCACCCAGCTGCGTCCGCTGCGTCTCCTCTGTCCGCTTCATCATGCTCTCGGTGGTCTCGGACGTCCTTGACGTCCGAGTCGGCGCCGAGACCGCAGCGCCGTCCGGCACGGTCGGCGCCGGCGGCCAGGCCGGCTTCTTGTACGTCCTTTGCTCCAGCTGTGAGACGCTCTCTACCGTCTCCTCGCGCGTCTCTCGTGCCACCTTCTCCGCGTCTGGCTGCTCGGGCGGCGGCGGCCACTGCTGCACCGCCTCTCTCACCGGCCGCTGCGGCGTCACGGGCTGCGGCGGCGGCGGCGGCTCCGGTCGCGGCGGCGCCGCCACCTCCCGCTCCCGCTTCACCGGCACCCAGGGCGTCTCCAAGGGCGTCTTCTTGGTGAAGCGCGGTCGCTCCGCCGGCGGCTCGGGCGCGCGTGCCACCGGCGCGGCCAGGTCGACGTGCGGCCGCGGCGGCCGCGCGACCTGCGGCGGCGTGTCGAACTGCGACGGCGGCGTGGGCGGCTTGGCGTCCGGAGCCGCCGGCCGCGCCGCCGCCTCCGGCAAGCTCACTTGGATCTCGCGCCGGTCGATGTACTCGTAGCCATCCGCCTGCCAGCGCGTTGGGATGCGCTCGTCGAAGTCGCTCTCGTAGTCGGTCTCGCTGAAGCGGCCCGGTACAAAGCGCGTCGGCGTGGGGGGTGGGTGCACCGCGCGCGCCGACGCCGGCCGCGGCCGCTCAGGCTCGTACGGGAACGGCTCCAGGTCAGGGAACGGCCGGAAGGGCGCGGCGGCGGCCGACTGCGGCCGCGGCCGCGGCGGGCTGACCGTCGGCTCCGGCGGCTCGGTGTCCGGCGTGCGTACTGGCAGCACGCAGACGCCGCCGCGCAGCTCGGCCGACGAGCCGTTCGTCTCCACCTCCTCTATCTGTGTCTCGATCAGCCGCTTGATGTCGGAGAGCCGCTTCCCAGGCGGACGGGGGCGCTGCTGCTGCGGCTCTGGCACGGGCCGCTCCTGCTGCTGGCGCGAGGTGACGCTGGTGACGCTGGTCACCTGCTCCTCAGTCGTGGTCGTCTCCGATCGGGACACGGAGGTGTGGTCCGTGTGGGAGGGCGCCGGTGCCGGGTACTGCTGGTGCTCGGGCGGGCCGGTGTGGGACACGTACGTCAGAGACGGAGTCGGCGCAGGAGGCGTCAGCTTCGGTTTGGGGGCGACCTTGGGAACAGGGGCGGAGGCAGGTACCGCGGGCGGCTCAGCGGCGGCCACAGGTGTCTGCGGGAATTGATAAAGGTCAGTTCCGGTATGTGTTGTCGGCTGAACCGGTACGGCCTTTGGCCTCTGAGCCTGCTGCTCTTCTGTCGTGTAAGCCTCCTCCGCTGAGGTCTGCTTATAAAGAGCAGAGTACACAGGCTTGTGAGGGACTTCTATTGGTTTCTTAGGCTCTACCCGTGGCGGGGGAGCGACTGGCTTCGGCGCGACCTTTGGCGGCTCTTTTGTAGGGGGGCGTTTCACCTCCGTCTTCGTCGATTGTGTAACTTCCCTCGTCTGATTAATAACCGTCTCTTGGCTTTTCTTCGTGGTCTTCGCTACATCTGATGGCACTGGGACGGGTTCAGGGGGGCGCTGAATTGGCTCAGCTTTTGGCTTCGCCTCCGGGGGAATCTCGACAACTTTCTTCACCTGCTGTGGTTTGGGCTTCGGTGGCACTACAGGCGTCAGTTTGGGTATCGTCACGATCCTCTCCTCTTTGGTTTTGGTAACGTTCTCCTCCACTTCATCAACTCGCTTGCCTACCCGGTCGGGCGGCGCACTCGGCATGCACACGTCGGCCCTGCCGGCCGGCGGCGGCTGCGGGATGGCCGCGATCTCCGACAGCTGGACCAGCTTCGACTCCTTCGCCTGCCTGCCCTCGGTGACGGCCGCCCGGGTGTCGGGGATCGCCTCTCGCTCCACGGGCCGCTCCGGCCGTGCGGCGTCGCGCAGGTCGACTGTCACCTTGTTCGTCACCATGCGCTGCTCCTTCTGCACCTGCGTGGCGTCCGTGGAACGGGTCTGCTGGCGGGTGGTCGGCGACGGCGACCGGACCGTCCTCGGTGCTGGCGCGGCCGGCTGCGTGTGCCGCACCACTTCCGACGAGCTAGACTGATGCGTCTGCTCGATCTTTGAGATGGCCTGCCTGACCCCGGAAGGAGCGGGCTGGGGCTGCGGAACGGGTGGGAGGGGCTCTGGGGGCTGCACCGTCGCTGGAGGCTGCGTCGCTGGCTCAGCCGCCTTCGAGACCGCTGAGTTTCGTTCTAGCGTCGCTTTATACTAAGGAAAATACAAAATGAGAATGGTTAGAAGCTGTGAGTGTGAGTGCGACACAGACAGTGCCTTTCGATGAGCCAAAGGTGTGCAGTGTTCACTTCGTCTCACCAGAAATGGGTGCTCTGGAAACATGGCGTTGCATTTCACAAACAGTGCGAGTGCTGAACAGTGCAGGCAGACACCACGGAACGCACTACCGCCCCTTCCGCCACCACCATCACCAACAGCAGCGGATGACAGTTGCTGGTCGTAAAAATATGCACTGGACGCATACTAGTGAACGATAGCTATACCAAACCAGAACGGTCTCAAACGTCAGGAACATTACAGTCGATGACTTATAGGAAAGGAAAATAGCGACGTGAAGGAACTCGAAATCGACGTGCGTCGCTTTAAACATTCAATGTTTATCAACTTTAAACCAGTGCGATACGCCACTCGGCAACTTTGTGACTGGCACTACATGATGACGCCTAAATTTGGCGACTGAAAAACGGACCACTACAAAAGGAACACATACATTGCACAAACAGCTCAAAATCAGTTACGTCTACAATCATCTGTGACATATGTTACGACCAGCAACTATGTCCTTTCCTTTCAAAGACCGACAAAAAGCGAGAAGTAAAGAAAGCTTTATTCAGATGCCCAAAGCGGTGGCTCAGTTCCTGAAGACCACGATGCACAGAAAAATGTACATAAGATGCTGCACCGAAGCGCGGGCCCCTCGGCATGACAAAACATGATTATGTACATTTCCGCCAACATGTTCAACCGAGTGTGTCCACGACCCAAGTGCCCTGTGCTGTCCGCTCATAAGCAGCCAAACAGCTACTCAATGGAGCAGATATCCACGCCGTACCCACCTGTTCACCACTTTTCTGCAGTGATGAAATCTCACAAACGTTGAATAAATAAAAGGGGGCATAAGGCAACGAAGCTATATTCCCGTGCTTTCTACGTATCACGAAACCCCAACCAAAAAATATAACAGAAGGCTTCGGACGCGGAGGTAACATCCACCGTTCGTTCACCACTTGAACACGACCACGACCTGTGCAATGAACGTGTTGCTGTACTCAGCTCCCTCCCGCCCGAGACCTTGCAGACCGCAGGGGTCTGTACAGAGTGCAGCACACCTGCCATGTGAGGGTGTGTCGTGTGCGGGCGCCTTGCGCGGGTGCACGGTGCGGGTGCACGGTGCGGGTGCACGGCGCAATAACACCAGACGGGGGGACGGTCCGGCAGCTCACCTCGCGCTCCGACAGGTCCTGGGTGGTGAGGCGCCGCTCCACCAGCACCGGCACCTCGTCCGACACCACCAGGTCGGCGATGGAGGTGGCCTCGCCGCCCGCGTTCGTCGCCTGGATGCTGTACTTGCCAGCGTCGGCGGGGGTCACTGCAACACGCGGCAGGTGGTGCTGGGTCATCAGGACTAGTTCACGTTACTGCGCTGTCGGGCAGTCCAGGTGCTGTATTAGTGAGAGATGCGCATTATAAGACGTTTTCACAACGGAGGTGGAGCTGTTATCTTCTGCACGTACCTCTAAGCGAAATTTCCAGTTTCCATTTGTAGCTTCCATAAAGAGACAAAAAACAAGGCCGCCAAACCGGACATGCGTAGGGACTAGGTGGGGGGAAACCATTTCATTGAGCTGGGGACAAAATTTGGAATAGAATGTAACTTCAGACAAAACGTGTTAAACTGCTCTCTTAATATCATTCAATACCAAATGCCTTGTTGAGCATCCATAATTTTCTGACTATCATGGCGACGGCTGGTGAGCCCGAGCCGGTTGGGTACCGCGACGCCATGGGGGAGTACGTCCCCCCGCCCGGCGGTCAGCCGCTGACCTGCCTGACCGCCGGCACACCCGGCCCCAGCGAGTACGACCTGCCCGACATGAACGTGCACATGCACACAGCGCCCCGCTTCTACTTCACGGGTCGCGGCGCGGAGACCACGCCCGCGAAACAGGACGGCGCCAGCCCGGCGTCCTACAACGTCCGGATGCCAAAGTGCAAGCACCAGCTGCTGACGACGCTGAAGCCGCGGCTGGAGCGGCCTGACTACGACAGCTCGCCGGGCCCCGTGCACCTGGTGACGCGCGGGGACGTGGCGCGCCGGCCGCCGCGCACCAGCCTCAAGAGCCGGCCGCCGCCCACCGCCAGCGTCGGCCTGCCCAACCCACTCGACCGCACCTCCTTCACCAAGACGCCGGCGCCGGCGTACGACCCGGTGACGGCGCACCTGCCCGCGGCGCCGCGCTTCCGCTTCAACGACCGGCTGCCGGCGCGGCACCGCACCGACGGGCCCGGCGCCGGCGCGTGGAACGTGCGCCCGCCGCCGGCCGGGCCGCACTACAGCCTGCATTACCGGCCACAGCCGCTCACGCCGATGATGAACAACCCCGGGCCGGACGCGTACGACCCAGAGCCGGTGGAACCCGCCGTGCACGCGCCCATCATCGGCGTGCTCCCCAGACCCGGCAAGCCGCCCGAGATGCCGGCACCCAACGCCTACAAGACGCCCAAGAACCCGCGGCGCGCGCCGGAGCTGACGTTCAGGCCTTTCGAGAACGAGTTAGAATTCCGCACGCCCGGACCGGGCGCCTACTCGCCGGAGAAGCTGCCTAAGCGGCGTGCCCCCGCCTACAGTCTGGCCGGCGCCGTGGGCGGCGCCAGGGAGGCGCCGACCGACCCCGGACCGGCCAGCTACAGCGTGCCGCGGGGGCCGCGCGGCCGGCCCGCCTTCAGCCTCGGCGCGCGCGCCGCCGCCCCCGCGGACCAGACGCCGGCGCCGAACGCCTACAGTCCGCGGATGGAGGTCAGCACGCGGCGCGGGTTCACACTCAACTCACGACCGCCGGCAAGGCGGCCGGCGCGCGGGCCGGGACCGAACGCCTACCTGCCGCGGCTGCCGCTGCCGCGCGCGCCAGACTTCACGCTTAGGATCAAGCACCGCGACATGGGAGGACGGGAGCAGGAGGCTATCCCGTCCCCGGCGGCTTACGCGCCTGGCGCCGGCTGCGGCTGCAGCGCCCACTTCAAGACCAAGCCCGGCGTCAGCTTCAAGGGACGGGCCTCCAAGTACGTGTACAGCGGTTATGATCCGGGGAAAAATCTTGGCACCATGTCGGAGCGCGCAGAACGGACACGAAATCTGATCATTTAAAGAGGTGGGCAACATGCTGTTTACATCTTGTCTCTGTCCTACGTTAGTCCGAATCTTTTTTGTTACCTACCGTGTATGTTTTACTTGGGAAGGGGACCAACAATACAATATAGGGTGCAACAGCATGACAACAACAAGAAAATAAAATATTTTGAAAACCCAAATTATCTCCAGCGCAAACTCAATTCCAATTCGGATTTTGTTTGATACGGTGTCAACATGGGGCAAGACGAAGGAGCACGCTGATGCTTTCGTAAATTGCAAACCAGTCAACAGATTATCTCACAATATGACAACCCGGCCTGTTGTTCGATATATCCGGCTACCACCAACGAGAGCACCTTAGCCGGCATCCCATTGGCCAGTGAAGGCAGGCTCAGTTCTGACCGTTCTCGATGGCCAGGATGTGCCGGGTGCCCTCCCGCTTGACGGTCGTGCGCTGAGTGTCGGGCGGCCGGCCGTCCTTGGTCCAGACCACCTCCGGCTGCGGCGTGCCGCTCACGGTGGCCTCGAAGAAGAGCCGCTGGCCCGGCCGGGCCACCTGCGCCTTCAGTCGGTGGTCGAACACCGGCGGGAACACGGTCTCTGCCGAGGACACGGCCGTACGGCGGTCAGCGCCGTCGGCAGACAAACATCGGCTTCGGGACGAACATGGTGCTTGATGTTCAACATCTCGGCGGGCGCACAGCTCAGACCCCAAAACGACAGCACAAACCAGTCGGCGGGAAGAACGCAGCACCGCAGCCCGGGGAGGACACCCGTCTGAAGACCAGGCCTGACTACGCAAACTCTGATCAGACCGAGCTACACACCCGACACCTGTCCTGTTGTTCCAGCGAACTCACTTCGCTACTCGCTCCTGAGACTGGCCCTGCCTCTCAATGACTCCTGATCACTCCTGACGGTGGTTATGCTCTCCATGACACTCCGTTGCTCTCTCCTGATCACTGCCCTGTCCTGATCGACCGGCACTCGACCGTGACCTTTTCCCTGCTCTCCCAGACGGCCGGCCACTCACTCTTCACCACGATGTCCGCGGTGCTGGTGGCCGTGCCGGCCGGGTTGCTGAGGGTGCAGGTGTAGCGGCCGCCGTCCTCCTCGGTGACCCGCTCCAGAGTGAGCGTGACCCGGCTCTGGTCGTGCGAGGTCACGGCGCGGTCGCCGGGCGCCAGCTCGACACCGCTCTTGAACCACTTGACGTCCGGGGGCGGGGAGCCTGCCGGCGGCGGACCGGCCGGCGTCAGGCAGGCCGCGCTGCAGCGTCGACGCGAGCACTCCCGCGTCCCTTCCGAAACGCCTCAAGAAGGAACGGTCGCCGTCATTTTCCTGACTGTGCAGCAAGCGCTTATCTCGGGGCGGGTGTCGCGCCGGTGTGCTCCTGAGCCGCACTGCCAGCTCCCGTACGCAGAGGTCGAACAGCCCATCCGTGACCCGCTGCACCACATTGCCCAGCCCGGGCGCACTGCGCCAGGCTGCTCACCGCTCAACACCCGCGGCCGAGGCGTGTTGTATCTGTGTACCGCTGTATCGGACTGCACAGCGCCAGTGACCCCCGGCCGAGACGTGTCGTACCTGTGCGCCCTGTACCGGACTGCCCAGGACCAGTGCCCAACGGCCACGGTGTATCGTATCTGTGTACCATTGTATCGGACTGTCCAGCACCAGTGCCCCCGCGGCTGCGCCGGGTCGTACCTGTGTAGACTCCCTCCAGGTTGACGGTGTCGCCCTGTTTGACCAGCACACCCTGCAGTGGTGTGAGGTAGCGCGGTGGCTTGGCCGGCCGCCGCTCCACCCGCTGCTGGTTCCGGTCCTGACGACACTCTTCGTACGTGGTTCGCAGCATCTGCCAGCCGGGAGAGACCCGCTGATGGCGAAATGTGGTGCGCGGCACGCGGGAGGTGACGCGTCAGCCACGTCATCACGCAACAGTGGAAAGAGGGGATGGCAGGGCTAGCAACAGTGAAGGGCAGGGATGACAGTGCGAGCAACAGTGAAGGGAGGGGATGACAGTGCAAGCAACAGTGGAGGGAAGGGATAACAGTGCGAGCAACAGTGAAGGGAAGGGATGACAGTGCGAGCAACAGTGAAGGGAAGGGATGACAGTGCGAGCAACAGTGAAGGGAAGGGATAAAAGTACGAGCAACAGTGGAGGGGAGAGATAACAGTGTAAACGGAGTTAACCTGGTTGTTGGAGAGTTGTACAAATGCAGGGATGGGGCGGCACAAGTCGACAACGAAGCTGCAATAATCGTTTTAACTCCATTCACCGCAGCGTTATAACCTGTAACGCTATTCGACTTAGATCTCGTGATCAGGGTATTCAATGATCAGGACGCTACAGTCACACCCAGGCAGGAGACTACAGTCACACCCACGGAGTAGACTGGAAGACTGGCAAGTCCCGGTGCGTCTTAGAAGCGCCCGGAGCCAAATGAAACAGAAATGCAGAGTTCCATGGGTGGCGTCATCGGGTCGGGCTGGGCTGATATGGTGTGTACGCGTCCTCCTATAACGTTACCTTTTGGTCCGAGGGGGCCGTCACACTGGAGTGAACCTCCTGGCTCTGCTCCTCCAACCCGTCGTGCTTGGGCTTCTTGTCACCGTTGACAACCTGTAAATCACAAGCATAGTTTGCGTTTAAGTTTACCGTACAGAACGGGACGTGAGACGCGAGCAATAATGAAGCAGCACGAACAGCATTCAACCAACACGGACAACCCTGATGTGATGCTCAGAGAGACCGGAGACACTTATAAGGAGGCCTCTGGGGATTGCATCTTCAGCACGATGTCGTCAGTAATATCGATGCCAGATCAGCAAAAATAAACTGACCGGCTGCATTGAAGGCCACAGAGCCATATGACCGCACGACGTATCGATTTCAAAAAATCAACAAGCACGCCGGAACATTCTCAGGATCGCAGGCAGTGTAAGCGCTGATGAGTGAGACGTACCTGGGTTTGCTCATGTACTTCGGTATACATGGTTTTCTTCAGAGCGAAGGACTTGGAGGACTCTTTGCTGGACCCGGTGGAAATGCGCTGTTCCGTCACAGGCAGCGAAATGTCGGTCACGGGCTCTGTCGAAAGGGGAGTGAAAACGGACTGACAGATTCAAGCGCACGATCAAAACCCAAGATTATGATAAAGCCTCTAATTTGAGGACGCTTAACAACAAACATTCTTCTAATCACGACGACGAAATTTCAGGGGAAAATCCAAGAAAAGCGCACGGAAACTACGATCATACAACTAGAAACAGTAATGAATATTCCTGCGCACGCATGGTGCCGTCCCATCGAAGCTCGTCCGAGTACGACGTACCTTCGACGGATAGGTGTGCGGCGCACGTGGCCTTGCCAATCTCGTTCTCGGCCACACACTTGACCCGGCCGCTGTGGCCCATCTCCGTGGAGCGGATCTTCAGCATGTGATGCTGGCCCTCCGACTGCGTTTCGAACTTGTCCGACGGCAGAGCGCCATCCTCGAACATCCACTGCACCTGGAAACGCCTCCAGCAGTGTCAGGTCGAGCGAGATCACGGCGGAGAACAGTGAATTGAAATCGCTAGAGTGTGCATCACACGCAAAGTTCTCGCTGCTCTACTCAAAGGCGTAGCACTAATGGCGGTGGGCCAGCATGTGACGCTCACCCCCAAAGGCTGCAGAACCCAACAGCTGCTTTCAACACAACGCGGCCGGCGAAAGCGATTCAGCATGATTCCTAAGCACTCCACACGGCACAGATCACCACCTACGGTGACGCGTAAGGTGTGGATTCGGGTTTCCTTTGGCCGTACCGTCGGCTTGGGCTTGCCATCGATGATGCACTGGAACAGCGCGTCCGTGCCGGTCGCCACGTGCTGGTCCTTGAAGATCTGCACGAACGTGGGCGGCTCCATGCGCGGCGGGGGCCGGAACTGGACGGGCTGGGGCCGCGGGCGCACAGTCACGTGCGAGAAGCAGCGCGCCTCGCCCGCCCGGTTGGACGCCACGCAGATGTAGTTGCCGGCGTGCTGGGGGAGGCACGAGCCGATCTCCAGCCGAGCTCGGCCGCCCTCCAGGCTGATCTGGGGAGAGGCGAGGAGCGCCGTCGTTAGAGGGAGCGCTAGCGGTACGGAGGTAGGTCACGGATGCAGCGCGACATACCGTGTGGTTCTCGGCACGTGGTAAATCTGATCTTGGCCCGCTCCTACGGACGTCGCAGAACGAACGAATCACACGATTTGAGTAGTTCTGACAAGCATACAGTGCAATCACGACATACAACGAATAACCACCAACTTTCAAGAAGTTTTTGAGTTTGTCAGATACCTTCATGCTCTCCGTGGACTTGACCTCACGACCATCTTTGAGCCAGACGACCGTGGGCTCTGGCAGTCCAGTGACCTCAGCTTCCAAAACCTCTCGCTCTCCCTCCCTGGCGCTGGCATCGGTCAGGAGCCGCGTGAACTTGGGCTCCTCAACCGGCTCCTCCGGAGTCGGCGTTCGGGGAGCTGAAACATGTGAAGCTATCGGCAACGAGCCCCGCGCATTTCGTGCAAATGCGAGGTAGAACATTGCCACAACTAGCTTACAATACGAGAGACGTGACTTGACGCCGAGCCTCAGGTATTGACTGAAGGAAGTCAACAAGATACGGTCGCTCAGTTCGGATCAGCCGACCTATCAACGGAGCTTAATAAACACGTAGAGTCGACAAGAGCAGGTCGCATGACTCCGATGAGTCTGACTCCACATCGAAGCTCACCGAGCACGTGCAGCCGACAGGAGGAGGTGGCCTCGCCAGCTGAGTTGATGGCCACCACGGAGTAGGGTCCGGCGTCCTCGCGCAGGGCGTGGTTGATGACCAGTGTGCACCGGTCGCCGTGAAACAGCAGCTGGAAGTCCTTGGACTCCTTGACTGGTTCGTCGCCGTGGTACCAGATCACCTGCATTAACAGACAGACGTTGAGCGCGCCGCAGTCTACGATACTCAGGTAAACACAACAGACACAGTGGACGAGCGGTGTCGCGTCAACATGCAACAGGGCATAACATGGCGCCAGCTGACGACGCGAGCTGTGGTTTGAGCGATCAGCCGCCGCTTATGAATACACAGGCAATGCAACACTTTCGCGCACCACGGCTACGCATGCTGTCGTTCACTGACAGAGCAGCATCCCAGGTGCTCAGGGAATTAGCCCCCAACCCGTGCCAGGTCAGGGTGAGCAGTATTCCCTCTTCTACGTCGGCCACCGGTGATGATATCCTCCACTTCGGCTGGCCGGCGAGTACACAATCCAGATGAACATCTCACTGCGGCGACGTCTGGTCCAGCTATCCATCCTCTACCCTGGCCTCCGGTCCAGCTGGACACCCCTCTACGCCGCCCTCTGGTCGAGCTGAACCCCTCTCTCCACTGACCTCTGGCTCCACCTGGACTCCCCTCCATGCCGACCCCTGGCTCCAGCTGGACACCCCTCCCCACTGACCTTTGGTCCGGCTGGACACCCCTCTACCCCGCCCTCTGGCTCAGCTGGACCCCCTCCCCACTGACCTCTGGTCGGGCTGGACACCCCTCCATGTCGCCCTCTGGTCCAGCTGCACACCCCTCTCCACTGACCTCTGGCTCCGGCTGGCCGGTGAGCACGCAGTCGAGCTGGGCCCGCTCGCCCTGCTCCACCGTCAGGTCCCGCAGCTCCACCTGGATACACGGCTTCACTGGCTCGATGTCGCTGGCCATCTCAGAGTCGGACGTCTCGGTGGGCAGGCGACCCTGCACGGCGGAGGATCCTAACTCACCGACAGATCCGCGGGCTTCCTCGTGGGCTCGGTAACCATGGAAACTGCATGACACTGGCGTCTGAACACCTAAAAGCTTATCAGATGACCACATGAGCCAATGCACGAAAAACATGTCCAAATAGCCAGAACATATTGGTAATGTCACGGACTTGTTCTGTCATTACGGTGGCCTCCCATCCTGTGTCTTTCTCTCCCCCTACCTTGACGGACACATTGCAGGAACAGGTGGCCTCGCCGGCCGAGTTTCTGGCCGTGATGACGTAGGTGCCGGCGTCCTTGGGGAAGGCCTCGGGAATGGTCAGCGTAGCCCGCAGACCGTCGAACGTTACCTGCTCCGGAGATGGAGACGGACCCAGTCAGCAGCCGGTACACGACTGGATGGGATGCACAAATGGCGTGGAAACCTTCATAAATGTATCTTTTGATGGTGTTCCACATCTGGTGGAAGCATGATCAGCGGAAACGGCGAAGCTACTCAATTATGTTTGGATGCGTGCAATCAAACTTCCCGCCCAAACCGCTAGCATGTCCAGCAAATACTACCCAAAATATATACCAAAAGTTCTCAACTATATCTCAGGGCGTGTCAAATCGGCGACCGCGCTCACATTCCAACGCCAGAGCAAGCGAAGCCGCGGGCGGCGGCGCGACCGCCGCCTACTGACCCTGGTGTCCCTGCTCTCCTGGACGGGGCGATCGTTGTGGCGCCAGCTGAGCTCCGGGTGGGGCAGGCCCGTCACCTCGCACTCGAGCCGCAGCTTCTGGCCGGCCCGCGCCATCACGTTACTCAGCGGCACCGTGAACCGAGGCGCCTCCGACGGCACCCGCGCTGAAATAGAACGGGCAGAGCTGCGTCACGCGGCCGGACACGGCGTCGCTCCAGGAACCGACCGACCGCCCCTGGCGATGTCAGAACCCCGCGGCGCACGCCCCGGGTCACGCACGTATCGGCCGCTATCCGAACGATAGTTCACGACAACTTTTGGACAAGAGTCGTACCCCTCGTAGGGCGGGAGACACGAGACGACACAACGCAACGTCATTGTTCAGCGGCGTGGCCAGCAGAGGGCATGGCACAGGCCACCGCCAGCTCCCACCGTCAGCGGGCGCGGGCGGCAGTGCTCGGTCGCGACTCACGCTGCACGCGCACGGTGGCGGCCGTCTGGTCGGTGCCCAGCGCGTTGGTGGCGCGGCAGACGAAGCTGCCCTGGTCCTGCGGCAGCGCCTGCTCCACGCGCAGCAGGCACTGGCCGTTGTTGTAGGTGGTGACGTAGCGGCGCGAGCCGTCGACGCAGACGCCGTTGTGGAGCCAGGTGACGTCGGGCAGCGGGTGTCCGGTGACGGTGGCCTCCAGCTGCAGCGGGCCGCCCTGCTCGAGCCGCGCGTCCCGCAGCGGCCTGCTGAACAGCGGCGGCGACAGCGGCTCCCGCGGCTCCGGCTCTGGGGGCGGCGCGACGTCAGCGGCTCCACCGGCCGGCGCACGCTGGTGACGTCACACCGAGCGCAGACTCCGTGCAAGAGACGGCGGAACATGGAGGAAAACGGCAGCCTGGAGTGTTAAAGTCTTTGATACAGACCAGATGTGGAATGACCGGAACAAAAACCGTGTTTCAGATGACTTACAGATGGTTTCAGATAGTACTATTTCGGAAACAGTGTCAAGTGATAAATCAAGCCTAATTTAAAGCGAAACGTTTCAGGTTAAATCATCCATCCATAAATCAAATTAATCAAGTTAATCCAATCATCGGGAACAACGTCGCGAAATAACGGCATGCAGCCAGACAACCGAATGACTGTCGATCTGCCACTCCTGACGGCAGCGAGGCCATGCGGGGAGGATCGTGGGAACTGACCATTGACAGTGAGCCGTGCGCTGGTCTCGCTGACCCCGGCTGGGTTCCAGGCGCGGCAGGTGAACGTGCCGCTGTCCTCCACCAGCGTCTCCTCGATGGTCAGCGTGCACACGCCGTTCTCGCTGGTGATGGCGTAGTCGGAGTTGTTGTCACACGATACGCCGTCTTTCTGCCAGTTAGTCTTGGGCTGCGGCTCTCCGATGACCCTGAAGATAGACACCATGTTTCACAGGGAACAACGACCAAAGCAACAGTGCTCACAGAAAATAATAGACATACACGTATTCGAGAAGCCAGACGAAAGTAAAGCCAACTGAGGTATCCTTGACGATCCTTGGTAATTCTGTGGTGCTGAATATTTTAACATGCCGCAGGAGACACTAGGATAGCAGCTCGAGGATACCCGCCACACGTGGTGTGACCACTAACGGCATCGTCTACCCCCGCCACTCTGCCCGCTCCCCCGTGGTGGCTGACCCTCCAGCCTCGCCACCCTCCGCACCTGGTCTCCAGGGTGTGTCGCTCGCCTTCCTCCACCGTGCGGTCCTGCAGCGGCTGGGTGAAAACGGGCGGAGCGGGCGGCGGCGCGTGACCCAGCCGCGGTCGCCGGGACGCCGACACCGGGGCGACCTCCTCCACCAGCCACGGGACCGTCCCGGCGTCAACCACCGAGACGCTCGCCTCCTGCGTCGACGCGTCTGAGGTGCCCACCGGGATCTTCTGCGTGGACGCGTCCGAAGTGCCGACGGGTAGCTTCTGGGTTGACGCGTCCGATGTGCCGACCGGAATCTCTTGCGTTGAAGCATCGGAGGTGCCGACTGGAATCTCTTGCGTTGAGGCATCGGAGGTGCCAACTGGAATCTCTTGCGTTGAGGCATCGGATGTGCCGACTGGAATCTCTTGCGTTGAAGCATCGGAGGTGCCGACTGGAATCTCTTGCGTTGAGGCATCTGAAGTGCCCACCGCAATCTTCTGCGTTGAAGCATCGGAGGTGCCGACCGGAATCTCTTGTGTTGATGCATCGGAGGTGCCAACTGGAATCTTCTGCGTCGAGGCGTCCGAGGTACCAACCGGAATTTCTTGGGTGGCGCGGTCAACTGTTACCTGGAGCACGGAAATATAAAATTGCCAATACGCTCTAAATAGATGGGTTTTAACACTCCATTATTATATAAATGTGTTTGGTTCTGTTGTTATCATCCCCGACGAGCACATCACTGACACTAAAAATATAACGCTACAATATGTATGACACAAGAGTGGATATGTGGTAGCCATCCTTGGCCAGGCAACCATGCCACAATTCCAAGTCATTTTAACGCTGAAAATGGGCTCCCGTAAAACCCACCGACCTTACATTAGCGATACGCACCGGACTACTGAATCGCCCAGTTCGCGATCGCTTCTCTCGCATTGCAGCCGACTTTGAGAAGGGTATGAGAGGAGACATCGGCACTGCCGACACATTCCTACGCCGAAGGGACATCACAAGCAGCACCATGTTCTGTGACGTTCTCTACCTTTTCCACGTGGGCCACGGTTTCGGTGCAGACGTCGACCTTGGGTACGACCAGCGGCGTGATAGGCCGCGGCATCTCCTGCAGGGCCAGGGCGGCCGCCTCGGCGGCGCGGCGGGCCTCGTCGGCGGCCGAGGCGGCGGCGCGCGCCGCGTCTGCCTCCTGACAACGGAGAGGCGCCGACGCGTCACCACCTCGGACGGCAGGTACTGATCGGCAGTCTGTCTTCTGACTGAGCTGTCAGCCTGCTTACGTAGAGAAGCGCAGACCGCTGGTTCGCCTACACGGGCTCAAAATGCTGACTCATTTACATGGGTGGGCGAGCTGAAGTCCTCTGACCAGCAGAGACAGACTAAACGTCCATGTGCCGGCTGTCACATCCACATACAGGCCGTTAGGTCAACATACAGGTCGTTACGTCCACATACATACTGTCACGTTCGCATACAGGCCGCCGAAGCTCACTGACTGGAACAGAGCGCTGACTGGACGGGAAATGCCAACAGATCGACACACAGGTAGCTCGTTATCATTCGCAAGCCGGCACATATCTGTTAGCTTGATCTGGGACGAATCCAGTCAAAAATCTGCAAGTCCACGTTACGACACGCCCTCCCCACACCAAACGCCACCCCCCCCCCCCCCCCCCCCCCACCACACCGCCGCCGGCCCGCTCCGCTGACCGCTGGCCGGTCCGCTGACCGCTGGCCGGTCCGCTGACCTGCTGGGCGGCGCGCGCCGTCAGCGTCAGCTGGTCGTTGTGGCGGCGCAGCTCCTCGCGCTCGGCGTCGGCCGTCTCCAGCGTGCGCACCAGCGTCTGGAGCTCCTCGCGCACGGTGCGCAGCGACTCCACCATCTCCTGGTGCTGCCGCGTCACCGTCACCACCCGCTCCGGCTGGCGCGTGCCTGCCGAGGCCGGGGCGCGGTCGTCATCTCAGCGGTCGGACGTCCGGCGCCGCATCGGCAGCGGCCAGACCACAGCACGTGACTGGAGAAGGCCCACCCGCGGCAGGCGAACCCTCGCGCACCGAATGAGCGGTGATCACAATGTACGAAACATAGTGTTTGGCAATGCGTCATGGACGCATGCTACTGCCACTGTTTCATGGAACAGTTTGCCCACTCTAATTCAATTCAATCAAGCTGAATACAACAAGATGTCAGAGTATCTCACTGCATGTATGCTGCATGACGCATCGTCCATCGCTCCCCGCGTACGTCACATCGTCAGAGTATCTCACTGCATGTATGCTGCATGACACATCGTCCGTCGCTCCCCGCGTACGTCACATCGTCAGAGTATCTCACTGCATGTATGCTGCACGACGCATCGTCCGTCGCACCCCGCGTACGTCACATCGTCAGAGTATCTCACTGCATGTATGCTGCATGACACATCGTCCGTCGCTCCCCGCATACGTCACATCGTCAGAGTATCTCACTGCATGTATGCTGCATGACGCATCGTCCGTCGCTCCCCGCGTACGTCACATCGTCAGAGTATCTCACTGAATGTACGCTGCACGACGCATCGTCCGTCGCTCCCCGCGTACGTCACATCGTCAGAGTATCTCACTGCATGCATGCTGCACGACGCATCGTCCGTCGGTCCCCGCGTACGTCACCTCGTCAGAGAATCTCACTGCATGTATGCTGCATGACGCATCGTCCGTCGCTCCCCGCGTACGTCACATCGTCAGAGTATCTCACTGCATGTATGCTGCATGACACATCGTCCGTCGCCCCCGCATACGTCACATCGTCAGAGTATCTCGCTGCATGTATGCTGCATGACGCATCGTCCGTCGCTCCCCGCGTACGTCACATCACTGACCGTAGAGCTGTTCAGCCATGACGGTGATGGTGCGCAGCCGCTCCTCCTGGCGCTCCTCGCCGGGCGTCAGGAACAGGTGGATCTCGCTGCGCAGGCGCTGCGCCTCCTCCGGCGTGCGGATCTGGGTCGACTTGCGCGCGATGTCCACCAGCAGCTTCCCGCCGTCCTTGTACCAGTCCTCCGCCTGGTGGGGCGGGAGACGTGGCATAATAATACAGGCGTACAAGGCAAATCCAAAAAAGCGAAAGAAAAACTGTCAAAGAAAACTTGAATCCTACTTCGACAGCATGCGTGTTGCGTTACCGCTTGTAACTTCAAAACGCATCACACATCCATGCCCTGCGCCGTTCACCAGGACCGTGCAGCCACCTCAGGACAAGTGTTACGTTCTCACCTCCTCCACCAGCCGGAAGTAGTCGATCGAAAGATCGATCAGCTTCCTGTTGTCGCCCACTTGGCGGTAGAAGGAGGACCACTTGTTCTCCAGCGTGTTCAGCTCCAGCATCACCCGCTCCGGCTCCGGCGACTCGGACAAGAAGCCTTGAGCGGTGCTGACGAAGTTCTGAATCTGCTTCCCGGTGTTCTGAAAGCAAGCGGCGACAGCCGTCATGACGCAGTGCAATCACTTAAAACATCTCTTGATGACGCTGGAGTCATCCGTAGAGCTAGAACCAGTATATCACCAAGGACCGAGCGGAGTAGTGAGTTAAGGGAGCTGTAAGTTGCTAATTGCACTTGTGAAGAACATTATGTATGTAGATAAGATGGTGGTAATAGCCTCATTCCTCGTATAATAGCCAGGAAAACGGATAAATAGATCTATTGATATTTCGACTATATGCTTTTATCGAAACCAGTATATACATTTGTAAAGATATCACTACATGCATATGCATCATAATCTTTAAATGCATTTGTAAGTAAATAATGCCGCTGCACATAAAGGCGTTAAACACATTAAGGCCAAACGCCTCAATCTAGCTTCACCGGGTGGCTTGCTAAAAGCGTAACACATCGGGCCAGTCAAGAGAAAGTTGCGTTCCCTCACTCCCAGTCATCAAACTGATGATGCATCAGTTAAATGTGAAACTGACCGTTTCAATTACACCTTCTGCATCAAAATAACGCTGCGATGTGCAAGAGCACAAAATAAATCAACACGTTTCCGCCAGCGAACGACAAGGAAGGGGATGTCACAGTTACCAGCCTTCTAGCTACGTAACATGACAGCCCCCACAGGGGTCCGTGCTGCTATACTCACCCCTATCGTGTCCTCGAAACCCTTGAACGCCTTGCTGGTCTGCTCAGCCTCCCGCAGCGTTTCTCCGTACTGTCCGCGCATGGTGGACAGCTGGCTGCTCAGCTCCTGCAGCTGGTGGTTGATGGTGAAGAGCTCCGAGTTGAAGGCGGACGAGGTGGCCTGCTTCTCCAGCTGCTCACGGCGCGAGCTCAGCGTCTCCTCCCACTTGGACTGTGGCGGCATGAACAGCTCCATGAAGAATGGTGACGTGGCCAGGTGACGATCAAATACACACCAGCAGTGCGGTCTCTGTGCGTCCGTCACCGCTTCGCTTCGACCAGCTGCCTGCCGTGCCACACGCTGCCTGAGCCGGCGATGCAATGCGATTCCCACAGACAGATGCATAGGAAGCATGCACCTTGAAGGCAAACATTTGGTCGCGTGACCGACAACCCCATTCAAGACCAGACTCATCACCGCCGGTAGTCCAGCAGCCGCCGGGGCCGCAGCACCGTACCTTCTCTGTATCCAGGGCGTGCTGGAGCTCGTGCACGTCATGCTGAGCGGCAGCCGGGGGCTCCACTTGACGCACCTTCTCCTCCAGGCGCTCCAGCTCGCTGCCGCTGATCCTGAGGATGGGGCGATGTTGGCTCACTCGAGCCGCCCCCCGAGACGGGGCGCCCGCTACACAACGTCGCACCGGAAGCCAGCACAGCCAAGACGACGGCTGCAGGCTATTCAACCAGGTCAGGCAGGTTCTGAGACGCTTCGTACGAGGATGACGTGCGTAAAGCGACGAAGAAGTGAAGCTCTCAGGATCCACGGAGTACACCATAAAAGGGAATAAGAAAATCTGACAATGAAATCCGACCATTGAAAACAGTCCGGCTATCCGTGCGCTTATCGCGGGATTTCGGAAGGGGCCTCTCGAGTCGTCGTGATTGTACAGTGATTGCAGGGGGATAATGTATGGGTTTCAGTGTACTATGCCAGAAAACACAAACCCACAAACATGCGTGACTCAAGTGCGCAAGCTGTTGCAGCCCCGTCTCGTGGACCGTCCGCGTTCACCGGGCGGCGGCAGTTACCTGAAGATCTCCTGGAAGGTGCGCTGTGTGGTCTCGAGCTCCCTGAGCGCGGCCTGACAGTCGTCCGGCGCGCTGGGCAGGGGGCGGCTCGAGTCCTGGCGGCGCTGCCGCTCAGTCCGCTCCTCTAGCTGGAACGACCGTACAGCGGTGAGCAGGTGCGCTGGGAGGAACGGGCTTGGCACTACACTCGCAGGCTCGGACACATAATCACCAGCACGTCGAAGCATAGCCTGCAGAGAACATGGTCACAGTCCAGCTCGACGCGGGGCCAATTCGTAACCCAGACCGGGAGCGTGTATGATGTTCCAGCTATGAAAACTGGCGGCAAGGCCGCCTAATATTCTCAGATCGAAAGCCTTTCTCAAAGCTGTCCTAAACGGGTTCTATACAAGCATACCCATCTTCTTTTGAGGGGGGGGGGGGACGAGGGGACGAGGGCCACATCCATGTTTACAACACCATGCGCAAACGCACCTCCTGTAGACTTTTAAAGTATGACGTCATCATTTGGAGCGTCATCTGGTAGTCGGACGTGGTAGTCGTGATTTGTTCCCTCTTGTTAGTGAGTTCTCGCACCAAGTTGTCAGCCTCGCCCTTTGTGTCTCCTGGAAACAAATCATGTGATACACGGCGAGCTCTTTCCTTAGTTGCAACGTTCGCAAATATAGATATCACGGAGGTTTGTGCCCGTCGGAAAACATCGCCCATTGTTAAGACTCCCACATCATTACCATGTTGTACACCATCTTACCACTGCATCGAGTCCTCTCACGGATGTCTATGACACGTTGACACCACCGTGTCTGACACATTGGCATCGCCTTCTGCACTCCCCCAACGCTGACCCACACACCTAATCACCGTCTTTCGGGCCCCTCTCACCGTCATTAAAAAAATATCATGGTTGTCTCGCACCCCCTCGCCGCCACCCACCGCTGTCCCGGAGTTTCTCGGCGGTGCGGCTGCGCTGGTCCAGCTCGGCGCGCGCCTGCTGCAGCAGCGGCACCACCGTGTCGGCCTTCTGCTGGCAGAGCTGTGAGCGCCGCTGCAGGTTCCGGTCCGGCTCTCGCAGCACCGGGTACAGCTCCGTCTGCAGCCGCTCGGTCCGCTCCAGAGTCTGGGCGCAGCGGCGCGGCGTCACCCCGGTCCACTGCAGTGACTCAATGTCCATATCGGCCGCGATAAATTGACGACGATGTTGACTATCATTTGGCTAGCATACAAGTCACTGGAACGGCATCCGACTGCAGCGACGCACAGCGTGATATGCATATAACGCATTTGCCGCAATGGGAGGGTTGTTATGTGATTGCATAATCCTCCTCGGCACTTTCCTACTTTCAATGGCATTTACCAGTGCTCAGTTGCGCCACACTGAAGCCCAAAGCCGGGACGCCTCAGCCTCACCTGTCGGGAGTCCTGTTTGCAGGCGTCCCAATCGCGGCTGAACTGCTTGCTCGTGGTGATGGTCATCTGGATGTGCTCGTAGGTCTCCGTCACCTTCAGCTGATCGCTCCGCAGGTGCTCCAGGATGGCATCGACGCACAGGCACGCCTTGCGCAGGTCCAGGTACGGGTCTTTACACTGCGAACGGAGGGAAACGCGTCACAGTGCCGTCAGTAATCAAAAGAGATCGCTTCGTATTTCACCGTGAAAAGGAAAACCCGATCGGGAAATGCTATACATCGAAGGTCAGTGACTTTAGGGTGTGTGTATCTGCGCCTGGTGGAAATCAATGGGAGGTTAACCCCACCTCAGCTCCAAAAGGGGTTATATATTTTCACAATAAAGCGCAAACAGCGACGCAAATCCATCCTCTTATCGGATATCAGCTGTTCGATGTCCGGTATCACCTCATATGGTCACGACTCACACATCGCCGAACAATAAACCCAATGTTCAGTACTACCTGACTAAAACCGATGCACTCATTACGCGGGGCTTGAAACAGCCACCATCAGCCTCTAATCAGTATTTATCTGCATTCAACAAGCACCGCGCGTGCATATGATACGAGTGTGACAAAGAGAAGAATTCGCGACGCTAAAACAAGAAACTAACAACGAAGCACAATTCCCTTCATGTTTACCTGCTGCGCACTTTCCACGAAGCCCTTGCCGACGGTGGAAAGCTGGTGGTACTGCTGCTGCATCTTCAGCCACTCGTCCTCCACCCGCTTGATGTCTTCCTCGGTGAGCCCCGGCCTGCCCAGCGCGGTCCGCAGACCATCCAGCGTCGTCTGCAGCTCGGCGGCCAGCTGGTGGAAGCGCACGTACGGCTGCAGCAGGTCCAGCCGGGAGCCTGCGGGGCGAGAGCAGGCGTCACGCACCGAGCTGCACCCGTCCGCGTGGCTGGGCATCAGCACTCCTGTTGGCAGCTCCTCCTGGCTGCCTCCGACGGAGCGCTCAACCTCGGAAGAGCGCCCGTGATGAGCAGCGAGAGTTCACCTGCCGTGGCCACCGATTCACTCGCAATCCACGAAAAGGCGATTTCGTTCAGGTTGAGAGTTTTCCGTATGGGTACCACAATCAGTACAATTCACAGAAGGCATGCAAACCATTCCGAAACTCGCCCCGCATTACAATATGACGTCAAAAAAGTACGCCGTCCCCAAAGCAAGCGGTCTAGCCCTGAGGCCAGTCTGCACCCGCCGTACATGCGCGTGGCCCGTGTAGGGGAGGCCACGAGCCGCCCACTGACCGACGATGTTCTGCAGGCTGCTCCACTGGGCCCGCATGTCCTCGGCCTTCCTCTGCATGTCGGCGGCCCGCTCCGGCTCCAGCTGGCCGCCCACAGTCGGCACCGCGCTCAGCAGCGCGTCCATCTCCCGGCCGTGGTCCTGTTGCGCCGGAGTATCCCGTCAGACGCCCGAGACCGCGTGACCGGACCCCAGCGAGGCCGCGGCCCGAGGCGGCGCATGTGGGCCTTGGTGGTCGCTTTCACATGAGGTCACCGCGAACGACGCTTCGGACATACGGACATATACGTAAACAACGTTTTTAAAACAAGAAGATGGGCTAGATGAAGCCAATAGGGACATGAATATCTAAGTTGATGGACGCATCTTCTATGCTTAAGGCATTTCGTGCAATAATCCGTAGTGGGGGGACAGTTGCCGTAAGTCTGGCTTTTCAGTGAGACGCTAAGAGGTGATCGCGCGACATGAAGGCGTGCGAGACGTCCATCATAAAACCAGAAGTCATCCACATTGCGTAGACAGGAAATGGCGCGCTATTTCCCGCCACGCACCGCTCGGCGTTGGCAGCGTCCACAAAACCTGCAGGCCACAGTGCCTACCGGCCGTGAGTATCGTCCCCCGTACGGATACACGCTGGAGGGGGGTTGGGCGGGTCTGCGGGGGCCGTCGGCACTGACCGCGATATCGTCCCACATCTGCTGGTGGAGGGTGGCGAAGTCAGCGGCCGGCTTCAGCGCCTGGCCCAGGTCGGTGTGCGTCCTCAGGAACGTCTCGCCCTCGCCCACCATCCAGCTGAACAGCTGCGGAGCCGCAATACCGCGTCACTAATCATCACGCGTGACGCGCCCCGCAGACGGCGAGGGTACGCACTGCGAGCACGCATAGAGGCGCGCGCCAGGTAAGCAGCTGCATATCATGCGTAGAATACATCGCGCAGCGTATCATGTTTCCACGGCGATAATTTAAGCACGCCACATACGTACGGCAAGCAGGACACGTACAATAAACGCCGTACAAGGTTGCGTTATTTCCAACCATAACAGCTACAGGATCGCAGCACTCCATCGGATATAATACTTAAGCATGTGCATTCAGCCGCCCACCGATGAGAGAGGAAACGTCACCTAATTTCGAGTGCAAGGGTTGAGAAATAGATGGTCCAACACACGGCAATAGGTGCCCTGCTGTTTTATTCATTCAGATGCACCACTGGTGCACAGCCTGGCGGTGGAGCCAACAACCGATCTGACAGCCATGTAGCCCGCAATACCAGCACAACACCGTTACGGGGTGGCCAAACCTGCCCGTGCGGAGGCCGAGGTCTGTGCACGTACTGAGTTGTACTTCTCCAGGAAGTCGTTGTACAGCTGCGTGCGTCGCAGGTTCTCCTCCTTGTGAGCCGTGCAGAGCTGGCCCAGCGAGTCAGCCCTGCGCTGAAGCTCATCCACACACTGCGACACGCCCTGGAGCGACACATCAGACGCGTCAAGCAAAGACGATGCCGGCGATGTGATGATGGCTTCCGATAAGTCCACGTCAAGTGGAGGCCAACGTGTCGTGCCCACGCCACTTCAACTGTCCGACAAATCTGTCGGCGGCGGCATATATTCCAGCGAGCCGAGACCGCAGAGCACACGACGGCATTCCTGCTCCGCACAATGGCGTTATTTACGTCTGAAACAATGCCGTTATTTGTTTCGAGCCCAACACATTGGGCTTGTTTGCCCCCGAAGATATCGAAGCAAACCCTTCCAGCTGGGATGACCTCCGCGGTGGACGCGTGCCCTTCGCAGTGGACACGTGACCTCCGCGGTGGACACGCGTCCTCCGAGGTGGTCACGCGACCTCGCTGTGGGTCGCCCGCGGCGGCCGCCGGCCGGCTAACCTCGGTGCCGTCGGCGCCGCGGCCGGCCCGGTCCAGCAGCTGATGTCCGGCCTGCAGGGCAGGCTCGGCCGTCCGCTCCAGCTCGTCGGCCGTCTCAGCGTGCACCCGCGGCTGCTCGGACGGCGGTGCAGTGCGCAGCCCCGCCTCCAGGCTGTCCAGACGCTCGCACGCCTGCCGCCGACCACGTGATCAGAACAGCTCGTGCCGATTCGGCGCGAGCGAAAACAACACACTTACGAGGGCGCAGATGCATAGTGTTCAAGCACATATGCTGAGAGGAGCAACCCCATAATGTCTGACACAAAGGCTGCGGAGGGCGTAACTGATACGTTAGCGAGCCTCGTACTAAGCACCACTGGTGTTGTTCAGTCTTATCAATAAGGGCATGAGGCTAACACGATACTCAGTGGCCGGTGGGGCTGCCACGTTCTGAAATGCGCACAATGTGTACATTGTAAGCACCGCAAACCTAAGCGTGCCGCGACTGAGAGCCGTTCTTACCTGCTGGGCCTGGCCGAAGAAGCGTGCCGCGACTGAGAGCCGTTCTTACCTGCTGGGCCTGGCCGAAGAAGCGTGCCGCGACTGAGAGCCGTTCTTACCTGCTGGGCCTGGCCGAAGAAGCGTGCCGCCGCGGCGAGCATGGCGCGCCGCCGCTCCGCCTCCTCCATCAGCTGGGTGCAGATCTCGAGCACGGCGTAGGCGCGCGTGCCGGGCTCGTGGCGGGCGTACGTGCCGCTCCGCACCAGGGCCTCGGCCGTCCGCAGCAGGCTCAGAGCTCGGTCCTGCACCGCCTGCCGACGCGGGGACGGCGGTGCAGGTTACGCGTTTGAGTATCGCCGGGGTCAGGTACTTTTGCTTTAGGAGGCGTAATTTTCCGAGGACGTAGAGTGTAGGGAGCATGTAGCGAGGGTTTCAGAACTAAGTTACTGAGTGGCGGCTTCCCAGAGCCACTAAATAAGGTCGCACTTGGGAATAACTTGGCTTGTCGAGTGTCGAGGCTTGGGAGTGCCTCTGGCCTCCACCTCGACTCGACCTGCCGACTGGCCCTGGCCTCGAGCTCGACATGTTAACCGACCTTGGCCTCCATTTCGATCTATTGGCTTATTGGCTGCCCCTAGCCTCGAGCTCGACCTGCAGACTGACCTTGGCCTCGAGCTCAACCTTGGCGTGCTGGTGCAGTAGTATGTCGACTGAGCCAGGCGAGTCACCCAGCTGACAGCCGGCGGCCAGCTCCCGGCGAACCAGCTCGGCTCGCTTCTGGACGGCACCTGGCGACGCGGCGCCGGCGGACGCGGCACGGGTCAGTCGACAGCGGACGCGGCACGGGTGAGTCGCCGGCGGACACGTGCCCTGTGTTCTCTGCCCACCGACGAGTTTAGGTAGATTGATGTCCGGGTTCACGGATGTGCTTCGACGCAAGCGACGGTGAGCAATAGTGACTCATGACGCCGTCTTAAAGTCGGCTAGAACATCAAGCGACTGCGGACTGCGGGCGTCTGCAGTGTGGGGTGAAAGCGACGCGATCCAGTTGGAGGGAACACTGAAATGTTGTAACGACCCACGAGATATCCCCGCGTGCCAATTTCATGTGCAGCATTGCCATCATATGGCAAGTTTTGAAGCCAAAAGTACGATTACCCAGCGCGTCCAGCACGAAGAAGAACATCCGCCAAAAACCCTGCAGACCACCTAACACGTTTAGTAGCGCTGTCACCATCTGGTCTGACCGTCTGTGATCGTCACCACACATTGAACCGGCAGGTTGGCTGTCGGGTCAAGGGCGGGACGCACAAGCACTGACCCAGGTCGGCGTACAGTTGGCTCAGGGTGCGACACTGCTCCAGGATGGTGCGCCGGTTGCTGAACAGCACCTCCAAGCAGCGACGGCGGTCATGTAGCTCCTCCAGCCACAGCTCCACCTGGGCGCAGGCTGAGGACAGGGTGCCGGTCACACATCACTCCTCACATGAACACAGGCTGAGGATAAGGCGCCGGTTTCACATCACCTCTCACATGAACATAGGCTGAGGACAGGGCATCGGTCATACCGTCACCCCTCACATGAACATAGGCTGAGGAAAGGGTGCCATTCACACATCACCCCTGACATGAACACAGGCTGAGGACAAGGTACCAAATATTGTTCCAACATTGTTCTACGTTAGTACTGATCGAAATATAACCCACAAGCACCACGACAGACGAGATGTCTTCACTTACCGCGCGTTTTCCGCTCCCTTTTTGATGCCGGATGATCCAGGCACCGTCACTCTCCACAGCTATCACGTGAGTCCAGGCCAGGAGTCCCGACTCACCCGACTGAACGCTGGGTCGGATGTTGTTCGGTCGCGAGTCGATCGTTCCCCGCTGGGCCAGCTGACGCAGCTTCTCCAGCAGCTGGTTGCCCTCCTGCAGCGTAAACATGGAGGCCTCCAGCATGCTCTTCTTCACCTGCGGAAGAAAGCGGAAGGTAGTCAAGCCGGGTGCAGGGCCCACGGCCTTCGGCGCAGCGCAGCGACAGCAAGGCGATACACAAGCTAGGGGAGCATGCAATAGTAGTTGCAGAGGTGGTGCAATCGTCGAAGATCAACGGAAAAGGTACGGTGTGAAGTATGTTGCTAAGCAATGACTACCAGGTACGCAGAACCAAGTTGTTGGAAATTTAGTATCACGGTTCACGAGACTTCAAGTAAGCAAAACTTTGACGATGAGTATCAAGCGTGCAGAAATTTGGCCATGACCATCAAGTAAGCAGAACATTAATATTCACATATGAATGCGGTGCGTCCTTACAGACGCCATTCGATCAAGCACCGTTGCGTAATCACAGTCAGTCCGAGTGGAGCGTTCCAGTGCCGTTCCGGTGGCCCACCTCGGTAAGCTGCCTGATGGCGGCCTGGGCCTCCTCGGCGTCGGACGGTATTCGGACATCTCCGAACACCCGCTCGGCCAGGTCCATGCTGTCGCTGAAGTTCCGCGATCGGCTGAGGCACGACAGAGCGGGGTCTTAGCGAGGCCGCGGGTGCCCGAGACGCGGCAGGACAGGGTCTTAGTGAAGCCGTGGGCGCTCGAGGCGCGGCGAACAGGGCCTCAGCGATGCCTCGGGTACTCGAGACGCGGCAGAACAGGGCCTTAGCGGGGTCGGCGCCAAGGCGCGACAGAACAGGGTCTGAGCGAGGCCTCGGGTACTCGAGACGCGACAGAACAAGGTATTAACGAGGCCGCGGGCGCTCGAGACGAGGACAAAAGGGCATTAGCGAGGCTGCGGATTCCTCGAGACGGGGAGAACCGGGCCTGAACGAGGCCACGGGCACCCCGCAGGAGCAGCCTGGGGACGCTGCCAGGGGCGTGCACGATGGACAAAAAAAAAGAAGAATCGTGAGTCCCATCCAAATTGAGAGAAAAATGACCAAAGAAAGGACTCGAGTGGCATAATAAAGCACGTCTGCCACATCGGTCATTTTCTTTTTCTAGCAGCTGGCATTTCATGCCGCAGTTGATTTACTTTACTAAATCAGCACTCGCCACTCATTTTGCAAGTTCGATCAGGTACTGACATCAAGCAAAGCCATGCTCACCTTCGATTACCCTTTGGCAATCCGTCGGCTGAGTGATAAGCGTGCAAACATAACACATCGGCGTCAGCTGACGCACGTGGAATTCGTATCAACTGGAAGCCCAGTTGAACCAACGCTCTGCCAACCAACACTAACCCACAAAGAGCACCTAAACGTATATGAAAAACAAGTGAAAAGTATGACTGACCTCACTATCTTGAACCTTTGCCTTTAGGTCACTATGCGTTCGCTCGGTAAGCGCTCAACACAAACACGGCTTTTTCATCAAGGCACCACGCAAGTATTCAATTACGAGCTCGAACAATGGCTGTGTTCGCCAGTCCCGCACGCCCTAACGGACCGGCGGCACCGATGGCGTCTGCGACAAGAGGCCGTGACGTGGCCTCCAGCGTCGCCAATACCCGGCACACGACCGTGCAGCCATTAGCAGCGGCCAGCTGCCGGAGCACGGCAGGAGGCCGTGGCGCTCTGACCTACCTGTGGAACGCCACGCTGTGCTGCAGCATCTGGCGGCGCGTCTCCAGCTGGGCGTTCAGGTCGCGCCAGGCCAGGCCCAGGCTCTCGGCCATGGCCGAGTACACCTCGGCCTTGGGCCTCTGGCTGGCGATCAGCTGGTCGGCCTGGTTCAGTAGCTCCTCCACCGGCGACTGCTTGCTCTGAAAGACAGCGAGAGCGCAGGCTGAGGACCACTGCCAGAGGTGGTGCACTCCGTCTAAACAGACAGCGCGCGGTCATGTTACGTGTCAGGGGAGGGAACACGACGTAGTTGTGCTACATGTCAGCCGAGGATACGCGATCGGTCCTGTCACGTGTTAGTCAAAAGCGGAACTAACACCAAGTGATCGCGGCGCACGCCACCTGAAGGCATAAACGTGGCCATGCCACACGCATAATGCATTTGTACCACCCGGTAAATTTCCCTTTGTGGCAAAATTAATGGACGCGTATCTGCTGCAGGGAAGAAGTCATTAGAGGAGGCCACCGCAGGATGTCTTGAGTCATGATTCATAGGGCGTCATGCCGCGCTCGATAAAGGCGGATTCCAGCGCAGAGGTAAGGATAAGCTGCCAACAAAGGGGCGGAGTGGCTGGCGGAACATCAGCAGTGGCAGCAGCTTGCACTTTCATAGTCGTCGTTGTATGCTGTAGCACATCGACGTGGCATCACTGACGATCGTCGCACCTGTGCGTAACGGCCCATTACAACATAAACAAACAGCATTGTATTCCGGCCCGTCCGAATCGCGATAATTGTAAAAGCCCATGACCGATTCCGCCGTCACTCCTGGGCCGCGCCGCGCGTGCCCGTCGCTGCTCCGACGCCCGCCCAGTGTATTTAACCCTGACGGAGCAAGCGTATGCGTCATGCACGTAGTCATGCTGCCGTGGGTGGATCGATCTCGTGCCGAAGCGATCGCCGGGGCTGTTTTGAGCGGCGCTGCGGTGGGGCTGGCACCACGGCCAACACTACTCTCGGCGGACCCTGCGCCCGCTCGTTCAGGCCCAAACGTCCGCTCTCTTGCCCGACCGGCTGACGCACGCGCCCACCAACAGCCAACACTGCTCTCGGCGGACCCTGTGCCCGCTCGCCCCTCGGACACCCGCTCTCATGTCTGCCTGGCTGACGCACGCCCCCGCCAACAGCCAGCACTGCTCTCGGCAGACCCTGTGCCCGCTCACCCCTCAGACGCCCGCTCTCAAGTCTGACCGGCTGACGCACGCGCCCGCCAACAGCCAACACTGCTCTCGGCGGCCTCTGCGCCTGCTCGCTCTTCGGACGCCCGCTTGCAAGTCTGACCGGCTGACGCACGCGCCCGCCAACAGCCAACACTGCTCTCGGCGGACCCTGTGCCCGCTCGCTCAGGCCCAAACGTCCGCTCTCTTGCCCGACCGGCTGACGCACGCGCCCGCCAACAGCCAGGACTGCTCTCGGCGGACCCTGTGCCCACTCACTCAGGCCCAAACGTCCGCTCTCTTGCCCGACCCGCCGACGCCCGCGCCCGCCAACAGCCAACACTGCTCTCGGCGGACCCTGTGCACGCTCACCCCTCGGACGCCCGATCTCATGTCTGACCGGCTGACGCACGCGCCCGCCAACAGCCAACACTGCTCTCGGCGGACCCTGCGCCTGCTCGCTCTTCGGACGCCTGCTCTCATGTCTGACCGGCTGACGCCCGCGCCCGCCAACGGGTACATCCACACAAACACACGGGAGCATCGTGGTGTTAAAATAGAGGTAGCACAAACTGACGGCCAAGTAAATACACCGGAAAGCTTGGAAAGCTTTCAGTTTTAAGTACTATTTGCGCAACATCCGTTTTATCAACAGTCCGGGAGGCGTGACCAAGATAAACGTGGCCAGGAGAGTACCAGCATATGCTTTCGCATAAACCAAAATAAGATGATTATTTATTTAGTCTAACACATATACTGCGGTGAATATCGACGACGGAAACTGCGCTGGAGTATGCATGAACTGCATCTGTTGGCGTCAGCATCCGTATAACTGCACGACAAGCCGGAATAAAAAAAAACAGGAATAATTTGACATACATTTGAAAGCAAATTTGTTATAGCCGCCAAAAACAGCTAAATTAACCCATTACACAACCATCTGCGTGCGCGAAATTTCCGGAAGAGGTCGACATTTATTCACTACAACCGTTACCACGCCTGCTTCCAGACCATGCTCACCGCACGTTCAAAGTTCGCAAGTGCAGCCTCCCCACCTCCCGTCACACCTCTGCTGGCCGCGCCCCTGGAGGAGCGACATTCGATTCGGCTCGTTCCCGAGCGCGGCTCGTCGTCAGCTGATGATCGCGCTCCACGCCACTTGCCAGCGGGCACGATTAGCGACAGGCTCCACCCCCGCACGATCACAGACGCGCTGCCTCGCAGCAGCTGGCGGGCGCTTGCCTCCATTACCGTCAACATGCTAACGCGGCACGGAACGACGCGCTGATTTGTGTATGTGTGATGGATCTTGCAAACGCGACGCAGATCAAATATACACGGCGGCGTGAGCTCCGGCGACGACTCGCGCAGCGCGAGCAAAATATTATCTGATGTTTCAATGTTGCTCTGCACGGGCACCAAGCGGAAAAGCATCAACGTTCAAATTCCTCTCAATCACTACCCAGTCCACATACGTGTGCCCCCAGAGACCATCCAGACTCTGCACTGCCGGCCAGCCCACATTTCCAAGCAGCCGACAAGCAGGGCCAAACATGCTCGGGCGCCAGAGGAGGAGGTCGGTCGCCCGCGAGCGGCGGGCCCGCTCCGCGCCGACCCCTCGCCTCGCGCCTCGCGCCCGATCCTATCAGCGGCGTGTCCGCGGGCGCTATATTGGTCCGGCGATCTGGGTCGGCCCCGAGCCGACGGCGACCCTCTGCAAACGGGGTGGCGTCCCGCTCGGAGCGTCCGCGAGCGCGGCACTGACGCCGCTCCGGGCGTGAGTCAGGGTGATCACCGCTGACGACGACACGGCCAAGCGCGCCGCTCTGACAGCTGAAGGAATGCCGCGTCACACAGCTCCCGGCCTGCAGCGGCCGCTGAGGCGGAACTTTATCCGCTGATCGACGCGCGGAGATAGGCTTGAATGTGAAATGGAGGGCAGTGTGGACAGCGCGGCGCTGAGAAGCGCTCATAATTTGCTCAAAAGATCCTATCTGGCGAATGAATTTGACCTGACGCAGCGGCCTGAGGATATACGCGTAAACCGTACATTTGGCTGCATCGTTCGCGGAGTTTGCAGGACTATCCACATTGGGATCCGAGAAAAGGCTGGTGAGACGAACCGGAGGAACACCATCCGAGCATCATCCCAAATACCTAGCTGTCTCGGAGCCGTCCCGATGGCATCTCGGCGGCAGGTGAGCGTGGCTTGAGGGGAACTGCCTGAGCCGCGCCACGCACGCCCGGTGACGTAAAGCTCTCCAGACCGGGATCTGAGCAGGCGGTTGTTTGGCAGAGGAGCAGACCTGAGCGGCGCCGGTACCGACTGACACGGAGGTATGCGGAGAGCGATGTGAGTGGTAGCCCGTCTCATGCGGCAGAGGAGCACCTGAGCCGCGCTCCGGTACCGGGGCAGCACGGAGAGCGATGTGAGTGGTAGCCCGTCTCATGCGGCAGAGGAGCACCTGAGCCACGCTCCGGTACCGGGGTAGCACGGAGAGCGATGTGAGTGGTAGCCCGTCTCATGCGGCAGAGGAGCACACCTGAGCCACGCTCCGGTACCGGGGCAGCACGGAGAGCGATGTGACTGGTAGCCCGTCTCATGCGGCAGAGGAGCACCTGAGCCACGCTCCGGTACCGGGGTAGCACGGAGAGCGATGTGAGTGGTAGCCCGTCTCATGCGGCAGAGGAGCACACCTGAGCCACGCTCCGGTACCAGCACGGAGAGAGATGTAGGTGGGAGCCCGTCTCGTGCGGAAGAGGAGCACACCTGAGCTCCGCTCCAGTACCGGGCCGACACAGAAGCATGCGGAGAGGCATGTGAGTGGTAGTCTGTCATTTGCGGCAGAGGAGCACCTGAACCCCGCCCCGGTACCGCGCCAGCACAAAGAAGGGGTGTGAATGGGAGCCCGTCTCGTGCGGCAGAGGAGCACACCTGAGCCCGCTCCGGTACCGGGCCAGCACGGAGAGGGATGTGAGTGGCAGCACATCTCGTGCGGCAGAGGAGCACACCTGCGCCCCGCCCCGATGCCGGGCCGCCGCTCGACCAGACGCCCCCGGTGTTTATGTGCCCCATTCAGCGCGTCCGACGTGCTCCTGGCGCGGATGCCAAGCCCATCCGCCGGCCGACGGAGGGCGGCGCCGCACGGAAAATGGCCGCCGGCACGCCCCAGACAATAGGGGCTGGTCTGGTGTGCCGGGGTCACCGTTGGGACCCGGCCCTGGTGAAAAGGTGCTCCGCTGGCGCATGCCAAGGGACGTGCCGAGGGAGAGACGTCCTGCTGCCAGCTGGCGGCGAAGTGACCCGGGAAGATGGACGTCGATAAATGGGAGGCGCCCCTAGATACAGACATTGTTTTGAGGAAACATGTTTGAGCTGGGGAACGTTCACGATTGAATGAAACACATTATGATGTGAAGGCGCTCTCACCGGAAGGCGTTCCAGATTACTTACGGCCAGCTTCTGGAGGACCTCGTCGTGCTGCTTCTGCAGCAGCTGGGCCTCTTCCAGACTGTGGCCCAGCTGCGTCAGGTCGGGCGACATCTCCAGCACCTTCAGCTCCACCCATTCTCGGCTCTGCAACAGGCGTGAGACCAGATCCGTGTTAGTGCCAGCACGCGGGAGCGGTGGCTGCAGGAGTTGAGTGGAGCTGACAGCAAGCCTCACAACATACATGTCCACCTCCCACTGGACGACCGATCGGAATAAGATAACGGATAAATGGGTAACAAGCCTATACCTGGCGCGCACACGAACATAACTTAACGGGGCCTGAAGCCAAAACAGTACGCTGCCGACTAAGTCCACGAACACTGCTTCAGCAGCAGCGCGCTGGTGGTAGCACTGAGTTGCTGCCTACATCATACTACGGCGGAGGCGTGTCGTGTTATTCATCGTCAACAGCTGGCGTCTATGCCGCTGCCGCCCCTTGGCCTGCGGTAGGGGGGGGGGGGGGGCTTTTCGGTGCACTGTGACCCACTACAATGGCATTGGTATGCAGTCGGCAGGCGGTGCAGACAGCGTGCGATAGAGGGCCCTGGTGCACTGAGTTCAGCGTCAGCACTGCATGTACTCGCTGCTGCCTAAGCCGGGGCACAGGCTCCAAACTCCACGGGTGTGACAACGATCATACGCTGACAGACATACCGGTGTTGACTGTCATGCAGCATTTACAAATGGCGATGAGAATCTTAAAACTTTGGTAGGTGGGGCCTTTCAGATTAGTCAAAGCACACCTTCCGTGGAACATTCCCTCGCGGTTTGCCCAAGTGTTTGGCGATGGTGGTTCGATCACGCCGCTACCTCGCGTCACACCCCAAGCTGCCGCAGTGTGAATTCAACTGCGTGTTTGTGCACGGCAACACGACTCCAGCCATCCATGTGGCTCAAAGGCGCGAACTCGAAGGTCAGTGCCGCCAAATTCCAGTTCGTGCCAAGCTCCAGCATTGATGAATGAGCCCGGTTGGCGCCATAGCCGGTGATGAGAACGACACGCCGACTGGCGCTGTAGCCGGTGTTGAGAGCGGTGCGCCCGACTGGCACTGTAGCCGGTGCTGAGAGCGGCGCGCCCGACTGGCGCTGTAGCTGGTGCTGAGAGCGGTGCGCCCGACTGGAGCTGTAGCCGGTGATGAGAGCGGTGCGCCCGACTGGCGCTGTAGCCGGTGCTGAGAGCGGTGCGCCCGACTGGCGCTGTAGCAGGTGCTGAGAGCGGTGCGCTCGACTGGCGCTGTAGCCGGTGCTGAGAGCGGTGTGCCCGACTGGCGCTGTAGCCGGTGCTGAGAGCGGTGCGCCCGACTGGCGCTGTAGCCGGTGCTGAGAGCGGTGCGTCCGACGGGCGCTGTAGCCGGTGCTGAGAGCGGTGCGCCCGACTGGCGCTGTAGCCGGTGATGAGAGCGGTGCGCCCGACTGGCGCTGTAGCCGATGATGAGAGCGGTGCGCCCGACTGGCGCTGTAGCCGGTGCTGAGAGCGGTGCGCCCGACTGGCGCTGTAGCCGGTGCTGAGAGTGGTGCGTCCGACGGGCGCTGTAGCCGGTGCTGAGAGTGGTGCGTCCGACGGGCGCTGTAGCCGGTGCTGAGAGCGGTGCGCCCGACTGGCGCTGCAGCCGGTGATGAGAGCGGTGCGCCCGACTGGCGCTGTAACCGGTGCTGAGAGCGGTGCGCCCGACTGGCGCTGTAGCCGGTGCTGAGAGCGGTGCACTCGACTGGCGCTGTAACCGGTGCTGAGAGCGGTGCACCCGGCTGGCGCTGTAAGCCGGTGCTGGGCGCGCGACTGGCGCTGTAGCCGGTACTGAGAGCGGTGTGGCATTGTTGAAAGGTCGGGGCCTGGGGACCCCGGGAGCCGTACAGCTGACGCCGGGTGCCGGCGCCAGCTCAGCCACCTGCCAGTCCGCGCTCGGCTCCAAACAACTATTGTCGGAGTCGCCTTTACAACAGAGCGGCCTCTGTTAGGCGCAGAGCACACAAACAAAACGCCGGCGGCATCAGGCGCGTCGGGACGGGCTGCCAAACGTCCCGATCCTCCCGCCTGTTGGGCGGCCGCCGCACGGAGTCGTGCTCGGCTGGCCGGCAGACGGTCAACAGCAGCACACTAACGGCTGCGGACAGGCGTCCATCGCTCTGTGTGTTCAGGTCTCTCTCTCTCTCTCTCTCTCTCTCTCTCTCTCTCTCTCTCTCTCTCTCTCTCTCTCTCTCTCTCTCTCTCTCTCTCTCTCTCTCTCTCTCTCTCCTCTCTCTCTCTCTCTCTCTCTCTCTCTCTCCTCTCTCTCTCTCTCTCTCTCTCTCTCTCTCTCTCTCTCTCTCTCTCTCTCTCTCTCTCTCCTCTCTCTCTCTCTCTCTCTCCTCTCTCTCTCTCTCTCTCTCTCTCTCTCTCTCTCTCTCTCTCTCTCCTCTCTCTCTCTCTCTCTCTCTCTCTCTCTCTCTCTCTCTCTCTCTCTCTCTCTCTCTCTCTCTCTCTCTCTCTCTCTCTCTCTCTCTCTCTCTCTCTCTCTCTCTCTCTCTCTCTCTCTCTCTCTCTCTCTCTCTTCTCTCTCTCTCCTCTCTCTCCTCTTCTCTCTCTCTCTTCTTTCTCTCTCTCTCTCTCTCTCTCTTCTCTTCTCCTCTCTCTCTCTCTCCTCTCTCTCTCTCTCTCTCCTCTCTCTCTCTCTCTCTCTCTCTCTCTCTCTCTATTCTCTCTCTCTCTCTCTCTCTCTCCTCTCTCTCTCTCTTCTCTCTCTCTCTTCTCTCGCTCTCTCTCTCTCTCTCTCTCTCTATCTCTCTCTCTCTTCTCTTTCTCTCTCTCTCTCTCTCGCTCTCTCTCTCTCTCTCTCCTATCTCTCTCTCTCTCTCTCTCTCTCCTTCTCTCTCTCTCTCCTCCTCCTATCTCTCTCTCTCTCTCTCTCTCTCTCTCTCTCTCTCTCTCTCTCTCTCTCTCTCTCTCTCTCCTCTCCTCTCTCTCTCTCTCTCTCTCTCTCTCTCTCTGTTTGCGTCAGCCAACGTGTGCAGCGCTTTCTTTTCAGTGCTCCACGTCTCTCTCTCTCTCTCTCCGCAGCATACTGTTATACCTTGTAGATCCGTTCACAAATGCTTCCGTGATATAAATCAAAATATTAGCAATACAGGAGCCCTAGCACGAATTGTCCAATGACGAAGAGCTGCCCGGGGGAGGGAGGCGGGGCTGGGGGAGGCAGACGCGTCACCACTGCACCGCTGTCTTTGCAGACTGCAGCTGCAAATCGCACGTCTTCCGCAGCACTCCTTTGGCTGTCCCACCAAACCCGTGGCTGTCCGCGCCCGTCCCAGGAGGCGCCGCCCGGACGCGACCCACGTGTCCCACCGGACCCGCGGCTGTCCCCTCCTGTCTCAGGGGACGCCGCCCGGACGTGGCTCACGCCTGTCCCGCCGGACCCACGGCTGTCCCCTCCCGTCCCAGGAGGCACCGCCCGGACGCGACCCACGTGTCCCACCGGACCCGCGGCTGTCCCCTCCCGTCTCAGCGGGCGCCGCCCGGACGCGACCCACGTGTCCCGCCGGACCCGCGGCTGTCCCCTCCCGTCTCAGGGGGCGCCGCCCGGACGTGGGCGCTGTCAGCGGTGTCTTTTCATCGGTCGCCAGCCGGCCGCACGCACGCACTATCTAAACAGAGCCGCGGGACCACCTGCGCCGTGCCGGCCGTCCAAACAAACTGACCGCGCGGCTCTCTCACCGGCCGCAGGTACGGGAGCCGGAGACGGCCTGCAGCGCCCTCTCGCCCGCTCGCCCGCTCGCCACTCCCCGGAGCGGCCGGCTGTCGGGGCAGCGCTGGGTCTACATGATCTGCGGCCGGCGCACCCTCCAACTGGGCACGTCCGTTCGCGAGGCTCGGACCCAGCGTCGTATTTGCATAGGCTGAAGGCTGACGGGGAGGCCGTCCCCCGCTGGCCGGCCCCTTCCCCGCACGGCTGCTGCTCTTCGATGGCGTTAGGTCCGCATCAGGCTCGGCCGTGTTCGCTCTCCGCCACGCGTCAGGAGGACGGACCTCGAGGACGGACCTCGAGGACGGACCTCGAGGCGGCGCTCCGGAACGGCGACACGCACCGTGCGGTCTCTGGTGCGCATACACGGGTACCGAGCCCGCGAGAAACCCGTGCAAACCGATAGCATGTGTCAGTAAGCTGACGTCTCGGCATCAATATCCAAACTAGCCGCAGCAAGGGGGAGAAATACAGAAAGACATTGGCGTAGTGGAAAGCAGAGACGCACAACTTCGCTGCCGGATCTATGAGCACAGCTGAGGATCGCTTTCAGCTGAAAGTACGAAGAGGCTGGTCGAGGAGCCCTCTCCCTGCGGCCGGGGGGAACGCTCCCGGGCGGCACACACGGCGCGCGCGCCCCCTGCCGGGCCACGCCGGCTCGGCAGCGCCGCTCCAGATGGCCTTGATCGGCGGCGCCGCGAGGGCCGCGGGGCCGAGCGTCACCAATTACGCGTAATGGGCCGCCTGCAGGCTGGACACAGGAAGCGCTGCAATGAGAGCCTGGCGTCACCCGGCTAGGACACTTCAGCGCAACCATGTCGTCGGTCGTCACGTGACGGCATGGCCGATATGGTGTGTCACCACATCGCACCCCGACTAGCATCATTATCATTCAGAGGGCATCGGAATTCACGAGGCGCCTGACCTCCCGGATTTTCGGTTACACCCTTGACCGTTCGCCAGGCGAGCCCGCGGAGCGATACGGCCGGGCCGGTGGGAGAACGGCGCGCGGCGGCGGGCGAGCGGCGCGTCGGCGCGGCGTGGAGGGTCGCAGCCGGCGGGACATCTGCCGCCGGGCGGACGCGGCAGTCAGCGCCTCTCTGCCGCTCGATGGGACGCGGCGGCCGTGCAGGCGGCGCACTGAGCCGTGCAGCGTAGCGGCCCGCCGGCGCGGCAGCCGCGGCAGCCGCGGGAGCCAGCGGCGCGGCAGCCGTCGGACCCGCCGGACCCGCCGTCGTGTCAGCCGCGGGAGCAGCCGGAGCAGGCGGTGCGCCAGTCGCGGGAGCCGCGGGAACCGCTGGAACCGCCGGAACCGCCGTCGCGGGAGCCGCGGGAGCAGCCGGACCAGGCGGTGCGGCAGCCGAGGGA